TAAAACAGAGTGACAGAAAATTCAGCAGGGAGTTTTCAGCTATAAATGGTGGAATAAGACTATTGCAAAACAAGCAAAGGCACTTTCTCAACAGAAACTGAGGAAAATGAAGACATACAAGACGATCAATACCATGCAACAGATAAATAGAGATGCAGTGACATTTGCAGGACGTGAGAAGGATCAATACCATCTCAGAGACCAGCACAAGTGGTCATTTTTAGAACAGAACCCCCTCTTTTATGTCTTATTGACACCAGAGTTGTCAATACGCTGCAGTGCAAAGAAATCAATCTTTTTGAGACCTGGGTGGTGGTGGACTTAAGGGCTATAATTCAATAGGAGAAAATTCTGTGTAATTACATTAACCGCATTGTGACTTGCTTCCTGATTGCAAAGTCTAAGACAATATTGGTTGTACAGTATTTGGTGGGTGAAGCAGTCTTCACCTTAACGCTGATTACTTTTGGATGTTGGTTGTGTGAATAACCCGAGAATTTAAGCCTATTCTATTGTTGTGCTCAGGCGTTGCCATGGACGACAGCATCAGGTACTGTATAGGGTAAAAATGCATCATGAATGTAAAGTGTGGAGTGGCAGAAGCTGGTGTTCCCTCAGTGCTGGTCAAAGGCTGCCCACTAGTGGTGGAGATAAAGTATTGCAACTAATAGAACATGTACAGGGGAGTCGAAAAAAAGTTATATATTCATTCTGTGCTGTAAAATGATCTTTACTTTTAGAAAGAAAGCTGAAGAAAGAGTCGGCAAAATTCAGCCATAACTCAAAGCAAATGTTAAATAAAACAGAGTACACCAGTATTAGGTCACTCATTCATGGCACTGCATCAGTCAGAGGCAGATTGATCAATAAAAATGTCATTAAAAACCACAAACTGTGACCCAAAAATGCTGAGTTTTCCTTACAGGCACCAATATGAGGTTGATATTTGTAGTTTTAGTCAAATGTCTTGACAAAGACAGGATAGATTGCCAGAAATAAGCCATGACTGCTGTCAAAAGATCTAATATAAACTGTAGTGAACTTATTTTAATATCACTGGAGTAGTGTTTTACATGTTGTGGTTAAAACTCTTGAATGAAACTGTGTTGTGATTCAGACCACACTGTCTGCATTTTCTAGCCTCTAGAAACCCGGACCCTTCACACTTCTAGTACTCTCAGAAAGGCTTCTAACCAGTGGCAGAAGCCAATTCAACCTGTTACAGACAAGACAGAACAGCTCGTTTTTATCAGGTGTGCACACCTGACTGAACTGCAGCACACCTGTTTGCAAAGTGCCTTGATTAATCCCTATACTACAAACCTGAAAGTCTCATACACACAGAAATGCTTCCAGATCCCCATTCATGGTCACAAACTGTCATTTCTGACTCATAAATAAAATTTTTGGTAAAAATATTTTTCCAGTGCAGCTACAATAAGGAGTGTTTATCACATATCATGCATATTTATATATATTACAACTTATGCTAGTACAGCAAGTTTCTCTGTGCTATGCAGAAGCATTCAGGCCTGTAGGAATTATTAAATGAAATATATGCACAGTCCATACGGCAAATTGAGGCAGGCAACTGAAAGCAGGTTCTCTTTAAGAACTCACTTAAACAGAAACTGATAAATTTCACTTACATGTAACAGCATATATATCTTTACAAACCAACTTTATGCTACACTGTCCAACACCAAAGCAGAGACAGAAATAGTAATCAACAAGCTGGTGAGCACGAGCTAATTAATGAGCAAACTATTTAAAAAACAGCCTCAGCTGTAGTTTGGCTCCGCTAAATACCCTAAAATGGATCTCTGCATTATAGCGTGCTAACATACCAACATTAGCAAGTGTTTGGTGCAAAACATTTAGCAATTAGCATAACAGTCAGATCACAGTTAACAAGCCAACGGCTTGTGGCAACATTTTTTTCTGTTTGACGTTCAACAGGCATTCAGTCGAACCAGCTCAGGGTTGGCCAATCATCCCTGTTAGTGGAGTGGATTTAAGGTTTCGTAAACAACCGGATTTGCCACTACTTGTCGCAATAGCCCACCAGCACCTCGGACCAAAACAAATGCTTCGTCGGCCACACCCCGGGCCTCCGATTGCACAAGCCCCCTCCCTTCAAATTGTCAAGAAGCCCAGTGAGAAGTGGCCACTTGCACTAAATCACACAACACGAAGCACAACTGAGTCACGTTAAGGTATGTACACGAGAGCCAACAAAAAAAACAAAACAAAAAAAACAACCCAGCCACATCCATTAGCCCAGTTAGCATCGCCGTGATATGCGCCACAGTTAGCCAGCTAGCAGTAGCAACATTTGCTGAACACATTCATAATATGGGTAACAGCAGGTTAGCTAACTTTATTATCCCTACTTTAGCTGGTCACTACTGAAAACACACATTTAATATTATGCAGCCATCATGTTACTTACACACTGAAGAGAAGAAAGGCCAGTTCCGAGTCAAGCTGGTGCTCTTTAGCCGCTCCTAGGGTTCTCCACCTCGGTAAAGCCAGACCAGTCTTGGTACACCTGTGAACTGGGACCGTTGTTCTCTGGGACCGGGCCGCCGTTAAAAACTTTATGGATGTTTTGGCGGGCCAGTCCCCACAGCAAGTCCACACGTCCTGTGGTCTTGTCTCTTTCTTCGTGGGAAACCTACCAGAAATTCTGGTAGGTTTGTTTCACCTGAACACTGCACACAGGTGGTGCCATGACACCTGTAGGATGTGCCTGGATGTTTATGGGCCAATAGTTTAACTGGAGGAACCGGCATGCACTAACATGCACACACTGCCAGACCTGATACCAAAAGNCCGTTAAAAACTTTATGGATGTTTTGGCGGGCCAGTCCCCACAGCAAGTCCACCTGTCCTGTGGTCTTGTCTCTTTCTTCGTGGGAGGCCAGAAATTCTGGTAGGTTTGTTTCACCTGAACACTGCACACAGGTGGTGCCATGACACCTGTAGGATGTGCCTGGATGTTTATGGGCCAATAGTTTAACTGGAGGGACCGGCATGCACACACTGCCAGACCGGATACCAAAATAAAGAGCAGAGACATCACGCTACTGTATTTTTTACTTATAAAATGGTTTGCTGCTATTTTAATGTTTAAAATCTCTTTTACAGAACCTAATGCAGGAGTTTTAATCAGCCTGGAAATTACAGCAGGCCTCCACTGGTAAGTGTGACACAAAGTCATACCGGCAATCACTGGTGTTCCCTGCAAATACATGAAAGTCAGATGAATTGTCCATGTGAAACTGGCCAAACATGAGATTGATTGTGTTGGCTCTTTGTTGTTCAGTCTTTCCCTTCCTTTTTCCAAGTGCATGCTGGGTTTGCTAAAAAAAAAGAAAAAAAAGGGAGGGGGGGGGGTTAAAAGTACTGAAGAGATTAATGAATAAAGGAAAACATTACTCAATATTTCTGACCCTGTGTCACTGACAGTCTGATTGGTGATAAAAATGGATGAAAATGCATACAAAGGGTGATAAACTATGTTGTCAGCAAAGATGATTTCAACACTGCAGGTGATTTGATAAATAGAGCTATTTCTAATCATTTAACCACTCTGTCGTTTATCATTGAAGACGTCAACTGCATCATTTATCTCTTTGGTAATTATGTTCAGTCTGTCCTTGTAGAGCTTGAGAAACTGCAGCGATTTGCAGGTTTGTCATTCCTTACTAAGCATTTCCAACTTCTAAGCCGGCTGTTTCCGTGTTCTTTTTTTATTCAGATTCAACTGAAAATGCAGTCAATTTCCTTTTAGCCCTTGGTTTTATATATATATATATATATATATATATAACTTATATATAATATATATTTATATATTATATATATGTGTGTGTGTGTGTGTGTGTGTGTGTGTGAAGAGAGAGAGAGAGAGAAAGAGTGAGAGAAGTATTTAATTTTCACACATCCCATCTCTTCTAACAGAGGACATCATCATCGACCCTGGCACTGCAGGGCCCTGGCTTATCGTTTCTGAAGGTGGGAACACAAAATCCATTCCCTTTAATGTTGTCTCCTCCTCCCCAGAGGGTGGGGGTGTTTGTGGATTACGAGGAGAGCCAGTTAGAGACCAAGACTCACATCTTCACCTTCACAAAATGCAACTTTACAGAACAGGACTCACCCTATATTTGCTCCGTGTTTGGCAACAGAAAACGGGGAGGTGGCTCCTCTTAGAATTATGACTGATAAACTGATATATATTTATCAACCTAAGAAAAGGTCAACATTACAGAAATCAAACTTATCAATATATAATCTGAAATAGACTTCATAATGATTTATCCATAAGAAGAAGGATTACAGAATAAAAGCATTCATTGTATGTATGAACATACAGTATCATCGCTCTCCATTTGTGGCACTGTTAGAACATACAGCGTATAGTAAAGATATAGTGAATTACTGAACAATTTAGAATATATTTTCTGTCTTGAGTTTTTCTAGTTTGTCTTCGTCAGACTTTGAATTAAAAAATTAAATGAAAATCTACTTCAAAACAACTTTGATCTACAATAAAAGGCACATCAGCCTTGAGTTTTAATTTTTTTTTTAACTTAAGTTACTTTATCAAAAAGTGATAAATCTCACATAGATGTAGTTAGAGTTGTTTAAAATTTTTATGTATGTTCTTTGTATTGTTTTTCTTATTTGCCTTTTTTTTAATGAGAAATTGGTTCACACGTTTTGTTCTTTCTTTTGCCTTTGCCAACATTAATTTAGTTGTTTAAGTGTCTTTTCAGGGAAAGACCTTTTCAAACAGAGAAAACACAACACATCCTTCAGTTTGGGGCTTTGCATATCTACACCGCAGAACCAGAGTAATCAGAGAGTGATAACAACAGGAGGGCATGTGTGGAAGTTTGGGTGTGTCACACCGAGAGTGGGAGGGCCATTTGAAGTTCCAGGAAGACTACCTGAGCACCTGTCGGCGTGTGATTCATAGCAAAGTACATGAAGTGAAGGACTGCACCGCTCCACGTCAGAGCAAAACATGCAGAGTAAGTTTCTACTTTCTTTTCCTCGGTTTTAGTCGTGATCACTTCTTCTTTTCACTGTAGGACATGTTGTGTTTCGTGACTGTTTTGTCAAGTACGTTGAGCTTGTTCCACATATAAAGGTAGAATAGTTACAAAAAGACAGTGTGAACTGAAGTTGGGCAAAGTGTGAAAAGTTACGACTGAGAGCATTTACGCGTTTGGATTGGAGTAGCTGATATTTCTTAAACAGCTGCTCATGTTATGTAACTCATGGAATGATGCCAAAGTGGCTGTTTATATTTTGTCTCATTCAGTTCTCAGTGGCTGTGACATTATACCAATCCAATAACCTACATTACTCTCTGCATATTTAATTACATTTGATCAGTGATTGTTTGTTGTTGCTGGTACAAGTACAACTTTCCAGTTTGGGTTGTGTTTTCTTTTAAACCTGAGGCAGGTGCTGTAAAGGTAGAAGGTCCTGAGTTTCTGCATTCCTTAGATGGTTTGTCACCCACCACTGGACACACTGACACTGTCAAGGATAAAGACACGTCCTGCCTGTGTGGAAAAAGCTCTGTGTTCTCTGCTGTCGAATATTTGACGAACCTTTTTATTAATTTGGGATGACAACGTTGTTTTATCATCGCGTCCCCCGTCTTGTCTGCTTCTCCCTGATCACGTGCGGAAGCGTGAATGTGATAACGGCTTCCCCCATCCTTCATCAGCAAGGTGTCTTAGTGCTGTTTCTGTTCACACTTAAACTGTATCACCTCCCTGAGTACAGTGTAAGATTTTAAATGATAGTCACCCATCTTTGCTCTCATCACTGCAACCGCTCCTTATCAACAAGCATCTATTTTGTGAGTTACATAGACACAACAGGTAAAATACCACTAATGCTTATAATATGCTCTCTGTTTTAATTATAGCATCCAAATAACCACGTTTATAAAAAAATAAATAAAAAAAAGATAAGATGTGTTTTGGTAAATTTAATTTGAGATATCTTTACAGGTCGTCATATAACAATTTTCAGGGCAGAAAAAAAAACTGAAAAACCTCATTTCACTATTCATTTTGTTTCTCCTCCTCTGTGACTCTTTATGACCCATTTCAAATGCCAAAGGAACAATGGCAGATTAAAGCCGTGTGCACACTGACCTCTGACCCTGTAATCAGACGGGGGTTTGACTTAACACAGAAAAAACACCACATTTCCTCAGCAACCTTCTCACTGGAAAATGAAGAATTTTACTTTTTCTTATCCTGACATGAGTTATCAAACCTGCGCCACTCAAGCATCTTTGGAGGGTGTGTCCATCACTGGGTTGATTCATCTATTTAAAGAATGGTACAGCATGTCACTGTTGTGGTTAACCTCATAAGGCTCTCACCCAATATCAGCACATGCAGACTAAATTACTGTCAGTTTGAGCACACCAAAAAAAAAAAAGAAGTAATTTACACCATAACAAGTCTGACACAACTCTGACACGACTGCCTTGGTGACTCGTACATAAAATAAAAGGTGTTAACGACCCTCTTGGATGAGTCGTGCCCATGTTGGAGGCCAAACAACTCCACGAGTCTGTGATTTAGGATTTCTAGATGCAGTGATTTGTCAATCTGGCGATGAAGCTGAAGACTTGTGTATCTAGTCTGTATCATTTCTCTCCGTCTTCCCCTCTTCCAGGCATTAGCTCTCCGAGAGGCCGGGTCCTCTCAGAGGACCAGTTCAGCTGCTCCATCTGTCTGGAGGTGTTCGTGGAGCCCGTGTCCACGCCCTGCGGCCACAGCTTCTGCAAGGCCTGCCTGCAGGGCTACTGGAACCACAGCAAGAAGTTCTCCTGCCCCATGTGCAAGAAGAGCTACTCCAAAAAACCAGAGATGAGTGTCAATAGGGTCCTGGCTGAAATATCTACCCAGTTTCAGGGGCTGATGATGGCTGGGGGGACTGCTGTGGACGGAGGGGCCATCTCACGGGGATCTACGCTGAATCTGAGCTCAGATACAGGCCACAGTGGCTCGCCAGGGCCCGATACTGGAGAGTTCGCCCGGGCTGGGGAGGTTCCCTGTGATGCCTGTATTGGGAGGAAGTTAAAGGCGCTCAAGTCTTGTGTGAACTGCCCGGGGTCATTCTGTGAGGCCCATCTAAGACATCATAAAAAGGTCAGTTTGTTACTTGTTTTGGTTTTTAGGGTTTCTGCAAAGTAATAACTACATTTTTTCCTTCCTGGGACTCCTTCTCTTTTTATTATGTCTTACATTGTTCATTTTTTCTACTTAATCACTACCTTGTTAATGTATTTGATCCTATTTGAGCCTATTTATACACCAACACAAGTACAGATTTAAAATTTGCCCTCTAATTTAGTGTAATATATTGTTTGTTGGTATTTTTTTAGTATTATAAGGAAGGAAACAAAGGATTTCATTCATATTAGCAATTGTTTACCCAAGTGTAAGATTCAGTCACCAATGAATATTTAATGTTACTACTGAAAAGCTGAAATTCAGAAATGCTAACGAATGTATTGCATTGAATTATGTTAATACGAAAAACATACATCTGAATTCAAATGGCCTGAATTCCTCTCTGAAAAAGAGAAAAACTGAAGTTGCTTAAATTCAATTGGTTGCTCAGACTTGATTAGTGAAATTCAGACACCAAATTAAGAATTTAAACATGAACATCTGGCAAGCAATTAAGCCTCAATGGAATCAGTCCCAAAATGAAAAAAAAGAGGAATTTAAACCACTTAAATGATTCATAATTAGTGGTGGAATTTCATAATTAGTTATGCAGTTGCTCACAAATTCAAATGTTTATGGGCTTTTCTGGCTCCCATATATTATCAGATATTGCATAATCGTAAACTATTTAAAATATTTTGTCAGAGTGAATTATACCTTTCTCTCCATCATGAGTTATAGTGATGAACCTGCTAAAATGGAAGTTATCCGCACACACAATGCACATAAAAGCGTGTGTTCACTAAGCAGTGCTCATGGTTACTCGTGGATAAAGTCTTGTGGAGGAAAACCACAGCCCTGGGTTTGTTATGCTCACATTTGCCCATTCAAATCCATGGCTCCGTCCCTTCATGCAGGTGAAGTCTTTGATATCTCACCGTCTGATCGAACCCACTTTCCACCTGGAGGAGAAGATCTGCAAGAGGCACGATCGTCTTCTGGAGGCCTACTGCCGCACCGACCACACCTGCATCTGCTCGACCTGCGCCGAGGTCTCGCACAGATCCCACGACATCGTCACCACTGACCATGAGTGGAAGAAGAAGATGGTGAGCAGGAAATAAAAAAGGAAAAATATACATATTTGACATTTAGCTGAGTTTGCACTGTATTTGTAGAAGGTTTAGATTTTCTATTTGGCCTTAAAAGTACCCGATGAGACCTCCCTGACAGTTTTCATGGTATAAAGCTGAGTCCACATTGATTTTTATTAATCCACAATCTTGATTTTCCTTTTTCAGAGTAATCTGGGAAAGAAGAGGTCGGAGCTGAAACATTTGATCAAGGAGAGAGCCAAGAAACTGGAGGAGATCAAACAATCCATCAAGGTCATCAAGGTAAGACGGCTGAAGGATGAACAGCGGGTAGAGGAGAGGAACCAACATCTCACCTGTGAGTCTTACCTGTGTATTAGAGCCCTGGCAACTGGGAGAAAAAAAAAACACAGCATGTTTGAAAGTGTTAGTGTCAGTTTTCAACTCTTTGAAATACAAGTCCAGTGTAAACACCGGCAGGTTTCACAGCACCTATAGTTCCTGTTTGATCAGGAGCTATAGCAGGAGTTTGATTTTAAGATTGATCTCATTAAGATTAATTTTCATATATGCAAAGTTTATTATCTGTCTTCTAGTTTAGAGTAAATTCAGTCTTTATGCCTTATTCCATGTTAAAGTCGTCCATCATGTTGCTGTTGTTATTTCCCTTGTGTACTGCATGTTAAATATTTGTCCAGTCTACTCTAATGTGGCGCTTCTCCTGCACTGAAGCTCAAAAGCTTTATTTACACTTCAAGCAGCTCTCTGATCCAGTGAGGCTCACAAAACCTGCGCAGGGTGTTGCTGAGCAGCACGTAGAGAGGAGGACACTCCTCAGCTGTGATAGGATGATCTTTCAATTACAATTTCACTTAGATAATCCAGCCTCCCACCCTGCTGCTAATTCACTTTGAGAATCTAAACCACATTGTGGCAGGACTTTGCCTACATCTTTGTCATACCTCTCACGCTCTGGGGAAGTTTTTCTCCTGCTCAGATCCACGTCTGAGGCTGTTCAACCGGTGTGACCAGTGTAGCACTTACCGTCAGTTTCCCACACCCTGTTTTTACCTACGGCTTCATTATAGTAAAACCTCAAGCGCGAGAGATCAAAACACAGAGGATTACGCTGCTTTTGTTCATGTAAATGAAAGGATTCTAGTTGCAGCTCTAAAATGATTTAAATCTTATTGAGGTTTTGAAAGGTTTTCCGTAACAATCCAGTGAGTAATATGAGTGTGTTAAAGTCTTGAGATAAAACAGGCTAAAAGTAAAATGTATAGTATGTACACAATTTGTCAAATAATAAATGAACAAAGTCAAATGCTTTTAGATCAACAACATTTCACAGGTTCAGTGCTGCTCTCGGTTTCCTGCTCGGTGACATTTTTATCTACTTTTACAAATACAACGAGTGTTAAGTTACCCGAGGGTTGAATAACACAATGTCCACATCCTTGTGTGTGTGTGTGTGTGTGTGTGTGTGTGTGTGTGTGTGTGTGTGTGTGTGTGTGTGTGTGTGTGTGTGTGTGTGTGTGTGTGTGGTGTGTGGATCTGTACAAACCAACTTACCTCATGGCGTGCAAAGTTATATTGCTCTCTTGTGTGTGTGTGTGTGTGTGTGTGGTGTGTGTGTGTGTGTGTGTGTGTGTGTGTGTTGTGTGTGTGTGTGTGTGTTGGTGTGTGTGTGTTGTGGTGTGTGTGAGAGCGATGCTGCAGATAGACTAGACAAGAGACAGACTAGAAGCAGTAGAGGCTTTAAGTCTTTGCTATAGATTAAGCTCTGCAAAATGCTGGATCCTACATTTCCCATAATGCAGCTAATAAAATCTTTTCATTAGACCCTGCCTGCCCGGTAAATGCCTCAAGTTTGTAGCGCAGACTTTCTGTTGTAAATGTGCAATCTCTCACGGCCAAACAGAGATATCCCTGATGACATCACAGTGACATCATCAAGGTTTTTTTCTCAGACTTCAAAAAACTCAGACAGAAGACATTACATAACTGTTTTCACAGGCTTTGTTGTACTTCCCACCAACAGTTGTTTACCAAATAGAAAGTGATCAAGCAAAATGTGGTTAATTTCCTACTTTTCCTACTTAAAACTTTCTTGAACTTTCACTTGACAAACAGCGGTTCTAACAGCCTTACGGTCCAAACATTACGTGTTCACCTTATCCTCTACTCCATGTCGTAGGTCAGCGCCCAGAAGGAGTTGGAGGAGAGCTGGCAGGTGTACGCCGAGCTGCAGCGCCTGGTGGAGCAGAGTCAGGCGGAGCTGGTGGAGCTGATCGCCACGCGGCAACGTGATGCGGAGCGTCACGCTCAGGAGCTGGCTCGAGGTCTGGAGAACGAACTGAGCCAACTGAGGAGGAAGAGCAACGAGCTGGAAGCCTTCGCACAGACCCAGGACAAAGTGGTCTTCCTTCAGGTGATACGAGCTTTCAAGAGACGTAACAAAAGCGGTCACTAAGCTGTTACCAGAGCCGTATTTGCGCCACCCTCTTTCCACCACCTTCTTCCAGTGTAGCTCTTCAAGTTCTTCCATTTCTAAGATGATGAATATTTCCAATCATAACCATATTCAAACAGAATTTTAAAGATGCATGCTGGCATTACCTCATTAGTCATTTTCCAGTGTGTAGCCTACATACTCAAAACAAAATTAGTATGCATTTGGGACAGAGCAAGGGCCTGAATTTGTTAAGAGGCTAACACACAACCGTGTAAGCTGCTGTGTTATACATACAGCACTGGCAGTCTGTAAGATATCTACCTTAATGGTATTGTAATATTATTTATCAGGCTGAAAAAATATAATTTAAAAAAAATATCTCACTCAGAAACTATACGCCGTATTTATTCATCATCGCGCAGCCAGTTCTCCAGTGGACCTCTGTGGCTGCACCAGCTGTAGCTGCTCGGATATTTGTGACACAACATCAAAGTCTCTATGAACAGAGCCAGCTGTTACGGAAGTCCCCCCTTGTGCATTTATCCAGGACTGCTTATGTAAATAAAATGTTGATTCTCTCTCACATGAAAGACGTCTTTGAGGTTTAGAATCTTTGCAGACAGGACGAGGAGAAGCGCAGGCCTCGAACACAGTGTTTGGAAGAACTAAGTTGAGAATATGCTGACAGACACATTCACTGTCCTGCATCTTTAACTGTCCTGGTATGTTTCTGCTTATCTGGACAAAATCCTGCACTGACTGTTCTTTGATTTTACTGCCAGACTGACAATGTGCAGAGTGCTCTGAGTGGACATTTGCATTACTAGAGTTAAATTAGATTAGATTTAAAGAGTTTCATTTCATAAATCTGTATTCGATGGCGCAGAACATTGTGAGATTAGTTTTTTTTTCTGTTCAGAGTTCCTTGCCTGCCTCATATTTAGTGTGCTCTTTTCTCTGCAAAGGCTTTCTTTTCCCTGAGGGGTCATTAAATTTTCATTTCATCATACCTTGCTCTCCCACTTCCTGTAGAATCTGGCGACGTTGCCACCCCCACTCGAGCCCACTGATTGGTCGGCGGTCAGCATCAACACTGACCTCTACCTGGGAACCGTCCGCTCCTCCGTCAGCGGCCTCATGGACAAGTTCCAGGAGGAGCTTAAAAGATTGTACGGGAAAGGTACGGGCAGCCTGCCAAAGTCAGTTTCTCACTGTGTTATGATAAAACACGACGACTTGTAAAAGACACACAGATTTTTAAAAAAAGATTCACTGTGTGTTTGATGACAATGTGCAGCTTTCCAAGACAAACTGATACATACCGTATGCTACGAGGACAGCGGGACATCTCATGTATGATACATGTGTGATACACAGGGGCTGGACAAATGAACAGAAACACCTTGTAGTGATGCAGCCACATTCAACAGTACCATCAGCTATGGGTGTGAAAGGGTTAATGTGCCTGTTTGCATAGTGATGTTGTTCCTGTTATTTTGTCCATCTCCTGTATGATTACTCAGAAACAACTAATGAAAACAGCTTTGCCTTTAAAGATTTATAAACTTCTTATTTAATGTGTAACAAGGGCAACAATTTCTCAAAAATACTCAATATAGTGACATATACAGTATTTTATATTGTACATGAATCATCAGTGCAGAGTTACAGTAAAATCCATCCTCTCTCCTCCTATGCCAACCACACTTCCTGTGCTAAATCCAAATCCGGGGATCTGCAGGTCACTGTATGCTTTGAAATAGAAAAGTGACTCATCATTGCACCAAGCAGCCCACCACACTCACACTTTCACACATACAAGATGGCCGGGCAGATGGAGATAGTGTTGATGCCACAGTTCATCCACTTGGAAGCAACGGAGAGGCAGCAGCAGAGAGCTGACTGACAGCACCACATGTCTTGAAGCATTTACAGCTCCAGATTAGATCTACATGTTTACCACCCACACGTGCCATCTGCTTTGACTTTGACTCTTCAGCTGAATGACTTGCTGACATGGTCTCTCCCTCTCTTTCTGTCTCTGTTTCTCTCTCCCAGAACTGCGGAAGGTGCAGAACTATTCAAGTGAGTAAAGCTTTAAATTGTTAGCTGTGATATTAATGGTTTGCACTTATGCTTTTTGAGGGCAGGGACTCTTCTTAAAGGAGATTTTAGAGGCGCGAGCAGAGGTTTCTGGCAGTCTTTAACCGAAGCTTTAACATAAGGTTCAGTTCTTCAAATTGTCCACAAGATGGTGCCATTTCTTCACTGCACAGACGAGCTGGATCCAGGGGCACACAGACACTTTGAACGTATACATTTCACTGTACTTGAGTATAGTTTTCAGGTACTTTCTGCTCACATTTTAACACATCAATAGTAATAAAAACAGTACTATAATATATATATAAAACAAAGTCCCTGAAGTCCCTCCAAAATATTATCTTTTCATTGCCTCTATTTTCTCTGAAAGGGGCCATTCTGCAGACGAAATGTCTTTGCCTTTGGTACGCTGAGTACATTTTTCTGATAATACTTGTGTGATTTAAAAGTAAAATTGGTGTTTTAAATTGTATTGCTATTTTTACTTAAGTAAATGATTTAAATTCCTACACCACTGCAACTTTGTTTAGGGTGAAGTTCAGTAAAACGAGCTGAAATTAAAGGGTGACCTGAGACAGGAACATTTTTGATGGTCTTGATAAATGGTCTTCCACTGTCTTCTTCCCTAGTTTAACAAGCAGATATATTCAGGCAAAGAAAATTCATTATTGTGATGGTAAGATTATCATAACAGAGTAAAGGGAACTCTGCTGTGTTCTGACCAGGTGAGGTGATTTTGGACCCCGGCACAGCCCAGAGGAACCTGGCCGTGTCCGACGACGGCCGCCAGGTGAGGTATGAAGAGCGTAAGGCCTCCCACTCTGATGGTCCAAAACGCTTCAGCCCGGCCCTCTTCGTCCTGGGCCGAGAGGGTCTCAGCTCCGGGCGTCACTACTGGGAGGTGGATGTGGGGCGCAAAACGGCCTGGACCCTCGGCGTCGTCCGTGCGTCAGCCCGCCGCAAGGGTGAGATCAAGCTGAGCCCTGAGGGGGGATACTGGTGTCTGTGGCTGAAGAACGGGGAGGTGAAGGCTCTGGCGTCGTCCCGCCTGCCTCTTATGCTGCCATCCCAACCCAATAAAATGGGAATCTTCCTGGATTATGACGGAGGTCAGATTTCTTTCTATGATGTGAAGGCACGTATGCATCTCTATACTTTTGTTGATAACTTCACCGAGAGCCTGTACCCAATCTTCAGCCCCTGTCTCACCCAGGAGGGCAAGAACGCGTCTCCTCTCGTCATAACCTCTGTTAAACACACCTGAGACACTCAGTCAGCAGTAGGTTTGGTGCACAGTGTAGATACTTTTTTGTAGATAATTTTTCCCTCTACCTAAAAATACAGGTTTTTATAAATAAGCCAGACAGTTTTACTTGTTTGCATAGCACTTTACCTCGAACAACTTGAAATAAAAAAGGAATTTGCATAGCAACACTACTCACTACAACACTTTCTCATCATATGGGTTTATACGGATCTGGTGTCTGACCCACAGAGTGACTGTTTCAAATCGATAAGATTAAAGCAAGCATTCTGTTACCAGGGTTCAGTCAAAGGAAACTGAAATGAAACATGGATGGTACTTTATTGCCTGACTACATATTACAAAGAAATATATTGACAGTTTGGTTATTTTGATAGCAAATAGTTTCGTTATATTGTATAGGTCTCAAATTGTACATAAAATAAAAATGGATTTTAGGGTGTGAAAACCTGAAGGACTAGAATAAAAGATTGCAAAGGCTAAATCTGACTTTTAGTTGTTACTTTGTGCTGCCCTGGTTCAGTTGGACGTGTAAAGGAGATACGTTTGAGTGATGCTGTGTATTTGGCACTTTGCTTTGTTGAGCTGTAACTATCAGGCTTTGGAGACTTTGCAGATTAAAACAATGATGTTCATAGATGTAAATGTAATGTTGAGGTTTAGGCTTGCCTGGGGAACCAAATGAGAATTATTTTGCCCTATGGACTATGACATTGTTTCTATTGTCCATTTTTTAAAACACAATGTGGACCTCGGATTGTTTCAAGGACCATGAAACTATATTATGCTGCATTTTTATTGTATGAAATATTTGCTTTTGTATCTTCTTTCTGAACTTTTCCAATAAAGATGATCAGTCGCAAATACATAATTTAATTTATTTTTTCAACTAATGAGGATTTGTCGTTTATCTCGTTCTCATCCGGCCATCAGCTGTTATCCTTAAAGCTGCACTAATCAATGTTTATATATTAATAATGGATCAAATAACAAAGTGTAATGTGAAAGAGATAATCCCTCTGAGAATTATCTTTACAGTTCCCCTTTGCAAGTGATCAGACTGGATTTGTGTGTCCAGACAACACCAACCTATCTGCATGGGTCTCTAATGTAATGATGTAGGGGTCGCTCTCTATGCTAAACGCTATGATGCTACAGGCAATAAAAAAAACTGGAAGTGGAGAGATACTGTTAGCATAGCTAACCACAACTCAGGTTTTAGCGCTTTCTGCAGAGATTTACACAGTAGGCATGGACTTTACCTCTGAACAGAGCCTGGCTAGCTGTTTCCAGTCTTTTGCTAAGGTATGCTAACTGGCTGCCAAAATACTAATAATGCACTTTTCTTTTGTTAGTTGATTAATGAGTAAGACACAATCAAATTAGATTAGATAACAAGAAAGTACTTGTCTTTTTGAGATGAGATGACAAAATTAAAGCCAAATATTATCAGTATTTCAAATGATACAAATCATGGATTCTGTCTTTAACAAAACTACTATTAAAGTCATAACAAAAATGAACACTGACTTGATTCAACACTTAACAGAAACCATAGCACACTGTAGCGTGCTGTTGTTGCTCTCCTGCATCTGACTCAAGCCGGACTGCTGGTTTTTTTCCGAAGGGTTAAAGTTATCCCTCCTGGAGCACCGAGGGCCAGGACCAGGGAGTATAAATTTGTATCTGTGGGGCACAAGGACAGGAAGGGAGGGGGGTATATTTTGGGTCTGAGGTGTGTGTGTTAGTGCGGTTACAGCCTGTCTCATGTGTCAGTGAACAGCAGAGACTCGAGGCAGCTGCTCTCTGGTGAGTGTCCCCATATCTCCATGTCTTTCCTGTCTCTCCACGTCCTGTCCTGCACTTTAATTTCTTTACTTTCACATCTGCTTCTCTGTGCACCAGCATATATCTGTTGTTGTATTGTTGTTGTGTTTGGGATTTTTTAATAGTGTTTACCTGATTAAGAGCCGTGGCCTCTTTTGCAGGCAGTGTTGTACAGATTCAAATAAATGCTAGGGAAAGACGTTCCTGTTTTTTTTTTTTTTTTTTTTTTTTTTTTTTAAGGTGCTTACATCTTAAAATAACCCAGACTCTTGTTTAGAACATGAAAGCACCGCGAGACAGATCACGGGCTAGCCCATTATTTTTGGAAAGATTTTAATCTGGTCTGCCGTGAACACCTAGGCCTCAGGCAGAGAGCTGCTCGCCTTAAAAGTTGAACTCGCGCACTTACAGCTTCGCAGACATGCAGCCAGCATACAAGCTAATTAAACAACCCTCATATATATATACATATATACATATGTACATATATATAGTTTCAATCACAGATGGAGTTGTGTTGTTTAAAAAGTAAAGAACTGGAGTTGAAAATTGAAGGTCTGAAACAACACACGGGCATCATGATTGAAATTAGCTGATCACAGATATATCAGTGTCAGTATCAACATGGCTGATAAGTATCAAAACATTGCAGTAAACGAATGTCAATGACATGTTTGAGGTAATTCAACAGGTTCACTATTGCAAAATGCATCCACCAGATGCTAAAGTGCTAAAAACTTTTTCAACTGAATATTTTAGGAGCTGAATGAAGTTATATGTTTATGAAAAAAAATGAGTATGAGTTGATCTATCATTATATCATCAATTTTCAAACTCTCACACTTTGAATATAGATCGTCTTAAAATAATCTGGTATCAGTCGACCTCAAGAAAGTTACAAAATTTACAAAAGTTGTTTATAACCTTGAATTAACACAACCTATATTTTCAAAATCTTCATCTTGAATTTGTAAGCATTAAAGAAATCCCATCATGCTTTGCTTTGGAGATTTGCATGCCAATGACCCCAAACAAAGTCCATCCATCATCTAACCCTAGTGACCTCAATATCACAGCAGGTTTGATGCCCCGTTCAAAGGCTGGTTGCTTATGCTGAAAATGACGCTGCCTCTCCGCCGTGTAGGAATGGCAACCACTGGGAACCTTTCTGAAGAGCAGGTGCACTGCTCCATCTGTCTCGACGTCTTCACCAACCCCGTCTCCATCCCCTGCGGACACAACTTCTGCCAGGGCTGCATCCTGGGATACTGGAAAACCAGCCCTTTGTTCCAGTGTCCTATGTGTAAGAAGTCCTTCCACAAGAGGCCTGATATTAGCGTCAACACTGTGCTGAGGGAGATCGCAGAGCAGTTCAAGGAGATCAGGGTTCGAGGTGTGGAAGGGAAGGTGAGCAAAGAGGAGGAAGAGGTGAAAGAAAAGAAGTGGACGATGGAGAGAAAGAAAAAGGAGGATGAGGAGAGGCTTTTGGAGAAAGACCAGAAGCAGCAGCTTCTGGAGGAGCTGAAGGAGAAGCAAGCGGAGGAGAGGAGGAAGAAAGAGCAGTCAAAGCAAAAGCCAGAAGAGAAGAAGCCACTACATGAGGAGTTACCTCCGTTAATCCCTCCTGTGTTCTTACCCAAAACCTCTCCGCCCTCACCCCAAGCCACCGCTCAGGATCCACCACCTCCACTGCCCCGGACATCACCTCCACCCTCACCTCAAATCCCTGCTTCTCCAGCTCCTCAAACCCTACCTTCCTCCTCACTCTCACATTCCTCCTGGGAGGAGGATGTCCTGTGCGATGTCTGCCTCGGGGAGGGAAGGCCGAAAGCGGTCAAAGCCTGCCTCGTGTGTCTGACTTCCTACTGTGAGGAGCATCTGAAGTCTCACTCTGCCAGGTTCACCAAGCACAAGCTAATGGATCCTGTTGCTAACATGGAGGACAGGATGTGTCCAAAGCATGAGCGGCTCCTGGAGCTGTTCTGTAAGAAGGATCAGACTTGCGTGTGCGTGCTCTGTACCGAGACGGACCACAGGGCGCACTACACTGTCCCGGTGGAGAGAGAATGGATGGAGAAAAAGGTGAGACAGAGTTGCCAAACATTTCAGGACAACCCCGATAATACTTCCTCAAGTCTTTCTAAATATAGTCTTTCTTAAAAACTCAAAAGCCTTCCTTGTCCCAAAAGAAAACTATGACAAGATTGAAGTGAAGATCATGATGAGTATCTTTTGGCATTACTGAGTTTATACCTGTCATGAGTCGTGTTTATGTGAAATTATGCTGTGCAGGCCCAGCTGAAGAGGACAGAAATAGACGTCCAGCAGATGATCCAGGACAGAGTGAAAAAGATGGAGGACATCAAACACTCTCTACAGCTCAGCAAAGTGAGTCCTGTTGTCACAACAGCTGATAACATCAGATTGCGTTGACACACGGTTACTCAACACAGATTTGTGTGTTCTGTCTGCGTTTTCAGGCCAGTGCTCAGAGAGAGATCGAGGAAAGCATGCAGGTCTTCTCAGAGCTGGTGCGCTCCATCCAGAAGACTCAGGCCGAGCTGGTTTTGGCCATCGAGGAGAAGCAGATGCAGACGGAGAGGTGGGCCGGAGGCCTCATCACTGAACTGGAGCAGGAAATCTCTGAGCTGAAGAGGAGGAACACAGACCTGGAAAATGTGGCTCGGACCGACCACATTAATTTCTTAAAGGTGAGGGCTTTTTGTTTGGCGATACCCTTATGGTTAAATGCAAATTTGCTATTTAAGGTTTTAATTCATTATATTTAATTACATTTGTGACATTTCTGCAAGTGCTTCTCTAACTAAGACCAGACACCCTCTTTAACTTGTTACTATTCCAGTGGCTCTTCTCCCACCATCTGCTTTACCATTATGCCTCAACAACAGTGCCCCCTTCCTGTTCTGTATAGTATTGCAATCTTAACACATCATTTAAAAATACAGTGTGGATTAAAGGCTGCAACTCATTCTGGAAATAATCTTACAGACTTGTTTGTTTATAAAGTAGATACACACCGTAAAGTCTGTGTGATGTCATGTATGGGACCTTTAAACTTTAAAAATGGTTTTAACTTTTTGAAGTGGACTCAATCCAAAAACATTCCTTATAATTATTACTCAAAGTTATGGTAACAGAGATGGCAACAACCTTACACAATATACTTTTTTCATATATATAACATGTAATTATAATATTTAGCATTAAAGATGTGAATATGCTATTTTGCTAACTAACTTGTTTCAAATTAATTTCCTATGCTGTTTCTCTCTGTAGAGCTTCCCCGCCCTTAGCACTCCACCATCTGTTAAAGACTGGTCTGAGACCAGTGTTCCCACTGACATGTGTGTGGGTATGATCAGGAGATCTGTGGCCAAACTGGAGGCAACATTGAATGAAATGATCAACAAACTGTCTGAGAGCGGTAGGATTTTATAGTATATCTATGATATGTTCAGTTTAATTCTAAACAAAGAGAAGAAGAAGAAGCAGAACACAGTATATCTTAAGAGAATGATTTCTTTTGTTTTTTACAGAGATCCAAAGGATTCAGAAATATACAGGTAAACCTTTTTCCTTTTTTTTTGGATTTGGTTTCATTTTTCTATTTTGAAGGTATCCAGCAAAATAGATCCTTTGTTATGTCTCATGTTTCTGCAGTGGATGTCACTCTGGACCCTGACACAGCCAACCCGTGGCTGCAGCTTTCTCAGGACAGACATCAGGTGAGACACCTGGGAGCGTGGCAGGACCTCCCAGACCACCCTGAGCGCTTTGACACGGTGGTCATCGTCCTGGGCCGTGACGGTTTCACCTCTGGGAGACATTACTGGGAAGTCCAGGTGGGAGACAAGGATGACTGGTATCTGGGAGTAGCCAGGTCTTCTGTGAACAGAAAGGGCAGGATCTCTGTGAGCACCACTCAAGGCTACTGGGCTCTGGCCATGAAGAAAGGCCAGGGGTACCGGGCGTCAACATCTCCACCGTTACTGCTCCCCCTCGACCCCAAGCCCAAGCGAGTGGGCGTATATGTGGACTACGAAGAGGGGCAGGTGTCATTTTATGACATGAGAGCTCGGACTCATATTTACACATTCAAAGATACGTTCACGGGGAAGATTCTGCCATTTTTCTACCTGTACTGCTGCGACAAAGCCTCTGATACCATCATGATCTGTCCTGTGAATGAGAAAACCCTGATCAAGTAAAACCAAGGACATATCTGACAGTAAAAACAACACAAAGAAGCTCTTGTGAAAAGTGAATACAGCCTGTATTTTGTCATAGGCTAACCTGCTTTAATCAAATCCTGTGTTTTATGTTTTATGTATATTTATTACATGTATAATGTAGCTCAACAAATATGTTAATTGTATATGTAATTGTAAATGTGTTGTATTGTTTGCTTTCTTGTTGGGAGTTAAATAAGAAGATTAAGACCACTGTCATGTCTGTGTTTAATATGAAGCACCAAGCAGCAGGCAGTTAGCGTATTTGGTTTAGCGCAAAGACTGAGTCTGAGGAGAGATAACACAATCTAAATCTAACCAGTACTTCTCAAATTCAGTCATTTTAAGGAATAGGTTGACATTCACTTTCTTTTTATTTTTTTTGCTGAGAGTTGGATGAAAAGATTTACACCTCTCTCATGTCTGTGTGCTAAATAAGCTAGGAGGTTAGCTATTAGCATAAAGACAGGAAACATTTTTTTGTTTTTTTTGGATGGATTAAACAAACTATTATGTGTTAATTGGTGGACTTTAGAGGTAGGCTAAATTTGTCATCAGTGTACACAGCCAGGCGAGCTGTTCCCAGTCTTTACACTAAGCTAAGCTAACCAGCTGCTGGTAGCTTCATATTTACAGACATATTGGTCTTCTCATGAAACTTTTGGTAAGACTGTGTACTTCCTAAAATGAACTATCATTTTAAATGCATGACACATAAAAAAAAAATTTTTAAAAATCAAAATAAAGTGTAGTTTTCACTTTAACTTTCATAATTGCATGTTGGTTTTTAATTATGTTTGACTGATATTGTAAAGGCTGTATGCTGTAAGAGAAATGTGTTCATGGTTTACAACAATAAATGTTCTCTCAAATATTCCAACATGTCACTATTTGTGGCTTCACAAAAGAAATACACTTAAGTTTCATTTCATGAAAATGATGTCGCTCTTGGCCACACCCACTGAGGTGACTGGAGCTGCACCAGCTTCTCAGCTCGTCTGTATCCTTTCCCATGTGAGACATGAATACCGAATTGTTTGCAGTGCCTTAATTACTGCATATGGTCCTTCATGTGAAAGACAGCTTCGGTGTCTGGGATTTACAGAACTACGGAGAGTCAGGTGAGTCATTCCTTCATCTTATTTTGCTGTTTTTCTGCCGTTTTTCTGCTGTATTTGCTTTTAAAATACAGAACTGTAAGAATGTGAATGCAGGATTAAGATGTGCAAGCTTATTCACATGAAAGTGACTCATTGGGCGGGTCAGTATTGACATTGTAAACAGCCTAAAAATAGACTTCCAAAAACTTATATAGCTTTTTGTAACTTGTTTTCCTTGTTCAGTTCAGCTGTACATGATGTAAAAAGCCTGAATTAGAAAAAAATATAAAGTCAGCAAATCACATTTTCTTCCACAGAGATCCCAAAATGTCATCATTCAGTATCATCGCCTCATTGGCAGAGGATCATTTCCAGTGTTCGATCTGTCTGAACGTCTTCAGCGACCCAGTCACTACACCGTGTGGTCACAACTTCTGTAAGACCTGCCTGAGCGAGCACTGGGACAACAGCGAGTTATGCCAATGCCCAACATGTAATAAAAGATTCTACATGAGGCCTGAGATCTCCACAAACACGGTCATCGAGGAGATTTCAGTCCAAATAAAGAGGAGGAAAGTGGAGACGCTTGAAAGTGTTGATGCACCGTGGCAGGTGAAGTGCGATGTGTGCACAGAACTGAAGTTCAAGGCCCAGAAGTCGTGCCTGGTGTGTCTGACGTCATACTGTGAAGCCCACCTGGAGCCTCACCACAGAGTCCCTTCCCTCATCAGACACAAGCTGATCGACCCGGTGGAAAACCTGGAGGCGAGGATGTGTGAGAAGCATGAGAGGATCCTGGAGCTTTTCTGCCGAGATGAGCAGGTGTGCATCTGTCTGCTGTGCAGTGAGACAGACCACAAAGACCACGACACAGTGTCTGTGGAAGAAGAAGGGACTCAACAGAGAGTAAGACACCTCATTTTTAAATCCTAGTTTATTTTCTTAAATGCTAAAAAGAATAAACTGAACATTGAATTATGGATTGACTGATTTAATATTGTTTGTTGCCTTGAAATTCTTCATTTTAGGTGAATATTGAGGCCAAAAATGCAAAGATCAAAATGATTATTGAGGAAAGAATGCAAAAGATTCAGGAATTTACAGCTTCCTCCGAAATGAGCAGAGTGAGTACTGAGGAAAATTGTGTGCCTGCAAGATTCTGCCATTTAATATAAATCTTTGCTAATGACATGATTTATGGTTACAGGAGAAAGTACAGAAAGAGATTGATGCCAGTGAAAAGCTCTTCAGTGCTCTAATGAATCAAGTACGAGACATGCATACCAAAATAAAATCGAACATACAGGAAAAGCTCAGGAAATCACAAGAAAAGGACAAAGCGGTGATTCAAGAGCTGCGCGAGGAAATCACAGAACTGCAGAGAAAGCAGTCGGAGCTGGAGGAGCTGTCACAAAATGACGACCACCTTCAACTTCTGCAGGTTAGACAACACCCCCCCCAATGAGCCACAACTGTTTGCTGTTAGTTGATGCAGTGTTTACAACATGGGTCTGTTAAATGCAAAAGGTGCTAAATAAATAAATAAATAGTTTCCTTTCCTTTGCATCTTTTCCTTATTAGTTGGTTCCTCCAGCTTAAGAGGAAGAGATGCAAGGAGGGTTCAAGGCAACACGACTGGAAACAGAGCCTTTCTAGTCTTTATGCTAAGCTAAGCTAAACTAATTTGCTGCTGGCTCTAAGTGTATTATATATATATAGTTACACAGATATGAGAGTGTTATCGATCTTCACTTCTAACGCTTGGCATGAATGTGACTTCTTCTGTTTATGTGAACTCAGCTTTTTTGTGCCTGTGTTTCAAGACACAAAAAAATGTCTGCTTGGGTGCAAGTGGTTGGTTTTAAAAAAAAATAAATATAGCAGTATGCCACTCACGATCATGTGTTTGTGAATCATTTCAGACTCTGAAGGCCCTAGACACCATATCAGATGCCAAGGACTGGTCAAAGACCAGGGTTTACTCAGACCTGTGTGTGCAGACAGTCAGGAGAGCCATGTCTCATCTTGTGCAGACTTTTATAGCAGAACTGAGAACTCTGACAAACATGGGTAAATATGCTGAGTTTGCTTCATTCGTGATGATGTCTATTATCATGAATGTCCCATAACTGTGTTGCCACTTCTTACAGAACTGACCAGAATGAGACAATATAAAGGTGAGGTCATACCTACATTTGTTTCACTATTCTTTCAAAATTCAGATATTATTACCAAAGATGGCAGCTTTGATTAAACTTATTTTTTCAGAGTCAGTCACCTTTGACCAAGCCACTGCTGGCTGCGGCCTTAGGGTGACTCAATTTGGGAATTTGAGGTGCTACAAACCTGCAAGTCCATCATCGTCTGATGACATCTTGGATGAGAGGTTTGACTTTCCCATGATTTTGGGGAAGAAGGGCTTCACCTCTGGACGGCACTACTGGGAAGTCCAAGTGGGCCTTAGAAGCAACTGGGATGTTGGTGTTGCCAAGGAAACAGTGAACAGAACAGGGAGGGTCAGCCTGAAAAAAGAAAATGGATTCTTTGCCATAGGAAAGAGGGGTTTTGATTATCAAGCTCATTGTACACCCTTCACTGCACTCCACCTGTGTCCCAGGCCAAAATATGTGGGAGTTTATTTGGACTATGAGGAAGGCAGGGTCTCTTTCTACGATGTTAATGAGAAGCTGCACATTTTCTCTTTCACAAGAGAATCTTTCACAGGGAAACTCTTCCCCTACTTTTATCTGTTCAGCAGGGCAAAGAAATCTGAGGCCTTGAGTATACTCTAACTTCTATGCAAGATCCTTTCTCTCATTCGCTCCTTCGAAAAAGCTATAGATAGAATAGAATTGTTGTTACGTCAAAACTCACAATTTCAGTGAGGTCCCCTGCAATTGAAATCTGAACATCATTAAAGGTTAAGCTACGATAGCAGCAACATATTGTGAAATGACCAGAAACAACTTTGCACCATAGACTATATTGTACTGGGGTGTAGTGCTTTTTAGTCTTAATATTATTAGTAGAGCCTTATTTCAGTCTAACACTGTGCCTAGGAAGCTTGGCATGAGTAGCACATTGGCACAGCAGCAGCATCTTCAGTCCTCGTGATATGTCTACACAGGATATCTTAAGTACTGAGTGTAGGTCAGTCACTTTTTGGCAGTGCTATGAGCCATGAATGTGTGTTTGTATCATTACTGAAATAAACATTTTGAATGGTTTTGTTGCCCTATTTGGAGATTCAGCTGAACTGTTATGAGAAAGCGCCACCCCCTGCTTTATCAGATCTATATGAGTTTATGAGCATCCAGGAAATTACAGAGTCCAGTAGGGCCGCCCTCGTTCCCAGCAGTGATAGGTGTGTCTACACCTATTTGGAGGAAGAAACAACAGACAGGAGCGTAACTCAACACTGTAACAGCCTCAGGAAACACGGGCTGGTAGTTGCAAAAGAGAGGTATGTGAGTTTTCTGTTTTCATTTCAATGGTCTGAGATTTAGAAGTAAACTTTTGATTTTCGCAGTAGACCTGTGTCAAATGGAAGTGCAAAGTTGACATAGAATATGTTTACAGTTTATTAGTTCATGTAAGTTTATGAAGGAAAAGAATAAACCCAGCCACTCAGGATGTTTAGACTGACATGTTAAGAACTCCACAACCTGAAATACTGTATAGTTTAACTTAAAATACTATTGCTGTATTTACTTCTGGCAACTGTAGCAATCAACAGGCCATTTTGAATCAATCATTAACCATCATCACAGAGAATCCTCAATTCTGATTGGCTGGAGGATGTTTACTATTTTGAAGTCACGGCATGACTCTGATGTAAGATTCTCACCACTCTTCTGAATGAACACCATGTACAGACTGTGATTAATACTCATAGATGATGGAAATTATTCAGTCCAGGTGTGCTAGAGGAAGATACAATGTGTTTCATCATTAAGAAATGAAGTGCTGATTTTGATCAGTATAAGCAGGATAATCCATTCTTGTGAACGTATGGCAAATTCTGTAACATAATGACTGTAAGTCAATGCTCCTCTCTTTACTATGGACAAAGTTTGATGTTACCTACACCCAGCAGCTGTCACACCACTCAGCTGACTCAGTCTGCAATTTGATTGGTCTAAAACCACACACCATTGCTCTTAACCATACCATTTACGAGACTCCGTTATTGCCCCATACAGTATGATGTAAGTGAATGCCCCACTGACGACTAACCTCACCTAAATTGCATATTGAGTGGGTGATTTTATTTCTCTTAGCCTTTATAAATGTACTGTAAAGGTGTTGTGTGATGACCCTGATGGGGGTCATAGGCCTTCTATAGTTTTCACCTTTAATTTTACCTCCCTTCATCATGCACCCTGACTCCACTGCTATTAAGCTTAATGAGAGGCTGAGGCTCTAATCTAAGGGACTTGTTTGTGTCTGTGTGACATTATTAGCCACTGTTCTATTAATAGAGGTGTGATTAGCCTGTGTTGATCACCACACAGCTTGCCGTCGATGGTCCCTGTTTACTTGCCAAGCTGATATTCATATGTTGTCTTTCATCAATAAATGTATTAACCTTAACAAGCAGCTTTACATATAATAAGCTACTGTGGAGTGAAACAGAAAGTTATAGGCAGCTGTGTTCCGGTTATGTTGATGCCTGAGGCTGCTGTGAGGACTTGTAACAACAAAACACAGTCATCACTCATCCTCCCAAATCCACTTCCCTTAGCACTTGAAAATGTGTTAACTGCAGCTAATATAATACTTTGTTTTCTCTACAGATAAACTGGATTCAGCATTCAATGGAATACACTATTATCTCTGCATGCTAGCGCCACACCACATCAGCTAGGTTACATGCATGTATGTGTACACATATGTAAAGATAGACGTTGAGTTTTGACCTAATGTCAGAGCCTCCTAAATGCTGCATCTGTCTGGATGAGTTCACCAACCCTGCTTCCCTCCCCTGTGGACACTGCTTCTGCCTGGGCTGTATAGGAGAATACTGGAGGATCCATGGGGCCTGTCGGTGCCCCCTCTGCAAGGCCTTCTTCCTCAACAGGCCACAGCTCAAAACAGACAAAACAACACAGACTGAGGATGTAACTGGGCCTTTAAAAGCCGGGGAGGTTCCCTGTGATTTCTGCCCAGCGAAGTGTCGTGGAGCAGTCAAGTCCTGCCTGGTGTGCCTGGCCTCCTACTGTGACACTCATCTGGAGCCGCATTACCAGAGTGAAGATCTTGGGCGCCATCTTCTGATCAACGTGGTGAAGAACCTGGAGGACTCTGTGTGTAGGGTGCATGGGAAGCAACTAGACAGGTTCTGCAGGAGTGACCGAACATGCATTTGTGCTATGTGTGCCCAGACAGAACATAGAGGCCATCACATTATTCCTATTAACAAAGAAGCAACAAAAAAGAAGGTAAAGTCTAATAAAAAGCCCCACATTATTGTTGTGTAACAAAAGCACCAACAGCATAGACAGATTTTGCCAGCCCAAACTTTGGACATTATAACTCATTAAAAGTTGCAAAATGAGGAACTTAATCATCATTAAAGTCTAACATAACATGTTACTGTTGAGGAAAGAAATGACATAGCCTTCCTCTTTTCAAATTAAAAGCTCATGGGTTTTGCTGCTACAGCTTTATATGGTCTGGTATGACCACTTGCTTATGAAGGCTGATGTTGGCAAGTCAGTTTGCAGACTTTATGCCTCTTTTCCACTTGTGCTATTGATACTGTTTATCTAAAATCCAAGCACCTTAGGTTTTCGCATTATCCCAGTACTGCCAGCTGCAGTGGCTGTTATTCAGCAAGTCACATAGTCTTGCTTTAAATCCATCCATCCACATCCATCCACATCTTTATATCACAATTCTTTAAATCACTCCATTCGCTTTTAACATTTGATTTTCAGAAACGAATGAAAACCAATACAGAACACTGGAAGCCTGTACACTGTTGTTTTACAAAGCTGGTGGTAAAGCTTGTATATGTTTATGGTTTCATGTTTGTGGTGGTGCTAAGAAACCTGAAAGCTTTCAGCAAATTTCTCATAATGGCATAAACATCATTTGTATGACAGTAAACAATAAAGTTTACACAACATCTGGTCTTAATTGTAAGAAATGAGCAAAAACCACTGGAATGACACAATTATCTAGAACATTTTATTTCATACATACACAAATAGACTTTGTTCCCCGATTACAGAACAAACATAGCATCTTGGAAGACGAAATACACAATAAATTGCTCTTTGAGAAAGCTTTCCTGTTGAAGGTCTCACAATGACATAAAAGCAGATCTGTTTTGCGTCAACTATCAAGCCCAAACTGAGCTCAGTGATCAGGGTGTGGTCTGGATTGAAAATTAGAGAACAATGCAACAATGACATGAGCATTGGTTTCATTTTATATAAATTACACTGTGTCTGTAGCTTGTCACGTGCAACTGCAGCCCTGCTGACATCATGTTTTCCCACAGGTTAAACTAAAATGGAGAAGGATAAAACTTCAGCAAGCAATTCAAGAGAGACTGAGTAAGGTTGAGAAAATCAAGATCTCTGTAGACCGCAGTGGAGAAGATCCAAAAGAGACATGGGCACAAAATAAAGAGCTCATCAAACAGCTGGAAGAAGAAATCTCTGAGCTGCGGAGGAAAAACGCTGAGCTGGAACAGCTCTCACAGACTGAAGACAACCTCCACTTCCTACAGGTCTGCACCATGCTCACAAGTCAATACATCAGCAATCTGATTAATCACTTATTGTCCTTTTTTTGACATGAAACACTGCACAACCACTGGTCCTTTAACTCAGTCTTCCCCTTGTCTCTACAGAGATTTCTACACACTACTATGTCGTAAAAATTGGACGGACGTTGACGATTCACCTTCGAGAGCGCTGGAACAAAGATTATTTGCCTTTTTTTCTTTTCTAAAAAGGTTTTAAAAAATCCATCAGCATATAACAAGTTTGATGGCGTGTTTGCTTTAAAAGGAATCGTTTCACCTTTTGTAAAATATACATTCATTGGAGAATTAACTGAGAAGATTGATACCACTTGCACAACTGTACAGTAAATATAAGGCTACAGCCAGCAGCCTCTTACAGCTTTGTTTACCATCAAGACTGGAAACTGTCAACTGTGATCTAGTAGCACCTCAAAATTTTAGTAATTAATCCATTATATTTAGTCTGTTTAATTTATACAGATCTTGTTGTTAAGCTAAGCTAACCGACTGCTAGCCTTATATTAAACGGACAAAAAAACAGTGCTAATGATCTTATTTAACTCTCCGCCAGCAAGTGAATTAGCGTATGGCTATACATATTGTTTATTCCCTGTTGAACTGTAACTAATTACCATAGTTTTCTTTCTTTTTTTTAAAAAACAATCATCATGAGCAATTCAAATGTTAATGATTTGAACAGATTTAGAGAATCAGTAAATCTCAAGAACTGCAAAAATGTCAGTCCACTAAACTCAACTTGATCCAGATAATGGCCAATTATTCACTCAGAATATCTTGTATGAATGTAACTTATGCCTGGGTGAATTATGTAATTTCTTTTAAGAATAGTGTGAGCTTACATGCAGTACAGTATTTCAGTGTTTAAATGTTTAAGGCGTTTGCCCCCCCCCCCCCCATTTTTTTTTCTTCAGACGATTGAATAAAATTTCAAACACTGTATTTATGCAATAAAGTACATTGAGAAAAATGACACATATCAGTACTTTCATATTGTGTTAGAGTCCTGCTTTTGAATCAGGAACTGACAATGAAAATGATAGTTTCATTTCACTCTCAGTCTGAGCAATAGTCAGTGTTGAGTGTCACAGCAAAAACCTTTCAGAAAGTCCAAGATTTTATTGCTCAACATGCAACACGCCCTGCAGGAGACAAAAACACATACGAACTTGCAGCTTGTTTGCATGCCTCTTTGAATAAAAGGAAATGAATGGCTTTGTTCTGAATGTGCTTTTGAACAGAAATGAAACTTAGGAGGAGGAGGAGGCGTCAAAGGAAGGAACTACACACAAACCACATAGGAGTAAAGAGTACGAAACAGAACCCTGGGAGATAAGGATAGCTAAGCTAAAAGGTAACAATTTACTCTAAATATACATTTCTTTTATAATATTCTTGTATTGATGCTTACTCATTATCACTTTTACTTCAGATGACTGTTCCATTACTTTACAATGTAAGGCATTTAGTTGTAAAATGAGCTGTCCTGTGGTGTGTTAGACAGAGTTTTGTCTGCTTCACTGATGATTGTTTGTTACTTCGGTCTCTGCTGGTTTCTGCTGTTGACATTTAACGAACACACACACACACACACACACACACACACACACAGCTGAAATATCCAGCAGGTGTGTCACCTGTAATGCCTTAGAGCTACAACAGTATCAAAGTGCGATTCTATTGGTGTTTCCTTGTTGAAATATGCTTTGTCATCTTGACTTTTAAAAGGTATCCAGTAAAAAATGAATGTTAATAAGCAATGAGACATAATGTGATCTATAATTTTTTTATTACCTGCACAACCACACCTGTGTCCTGTCCATTCAGTCTGTAAAAGGGAGTCAGCTGTTACAACTGAGATAGATAGATTTGTCCAGTGAAGTGCTTGATGCCAACGATGCACTAGGGGGTTAAATTGCACATGGACACTGAGGTGTTGATGGTAATTCACTGGTAATGATTTTTTAATTGGAGACTGCTGTCTGCAGTTAAGTTAAAAATTAAACTAAACAACAAGACTTGAGTGCCCATATCTGTGATTTCTAGTGTGAACATGTAACCTTTGAAAGAAGAAATGACACGCAAATTTAATATGTGAATTAATAAATACAACCATACCATATAACTATACTTGGTCTGGTATGCTGCGTAGCTTATTGTAGATCATGTTAGCAAATGTTGCCAAATTGTCCCCAGTGAACTTCTTTGAAATGCAAAAAGTGAGCAGGCCGCGACCTGACTGCTATATTATATTTCTAATTTACATCATGGTGCTCTCTTAAAGCAGATATGGCCTCCGCTGCTGCATCACCCAGTCAGACCTGCCCAATGGAGAAGCATCTAACATGCTCCATCTGCATGGATACATTTCAGGATCCTGTCACTACAGATTGCGGCCACTCCTTCTGCAAGAAATGTCTGAGCTTAAACTTTAATTACACCGACAGGGTGTGTCCCCTATGCAAGAAGCCTCAAAACAGACTCCCAGATGTGAACATCGTCCTGAGAGACATCGTCCATCAGGAAAATCTGAAAAAGACTGAAGAGGAAAACGATGATATTTACACTGGCAAGGACGGCGAAGTGGCCTGTGACATTTGCACAGAGCAGAAGCTGAAGGCCGTGAAGTCCTGCCTCGTGTGTCTTGCCTCGTATTGTTCGACCCACCTGGAGAATCATTCTTCAACTGAAAGGCTGAAGGGCCACAAGCTGGTGGCGCCTGTGAAGAACTTGGATGACAGGGCCTGTCTGAAGCATGGACGCCCCTTGGAGCTGTACAGCAGGACGCAGCATAGATGCATTTGTGTTCGTTGTATGGAAGAAGGTCCGGAGGAAGTTGTCTCTACCGAAGATGAATGGGAGAAGAAGAAGGTCAATAAACATATGCAAAGCCCTATAATTTTTGATTCAAATCTTGACAGCAGTGGATACTTACTTTAAGCTGTTGCTCGACAAATTTGTGTTGTTGACTTCCCTTTTTTGTTTACTACAGGTTCAACTTGACAACAGCAAGACAGAATTAGAAACAAAAATTGAGAGGAGAGAAAAACAATTGGGCGAGATTATTGAATCTCTAAAGAAGTGCAAGGTAAGCTGCAAGGGGGACAAACATTACCGATCCTGGACTCACCTGGAGTGAAAAGCCAATCAGACCAGTCGAAACCGACAGGGCAAGTTTAGCCTTTACAAACACTATGACAGTTAAATGGAGGAGCTGTGAAGTAATTACCCATGCCCACATACTGATGCCATATCTGGGGCTTTGATATGTGCAAGTCCCTTAAAAGGTACAGTTAGAGTTTTGTAGAAATAGAATTTAAACATGATACCATATGGCGTAGTGTATGTAGTATTTATGCATGTGTTGTTCAAAGAAAAAAGGTTCAACAGACAATTGTCGAACAGACAATGCTTAATTTTCTCCTGTTTTCAGGAGCAGCTGGACGGTGAGTGGTGGAATATTGATGTCGTGTTCACCGCTGTGCTTGCGATCGTGGAGGAAGCCCAGGCAAGAGCTCTTCAGCCACTGAAGGACAGGAGGCAGGTTCTGGAGAAAGAGGCGGACGACCTCAAAAAGGAGCTGGAAACAGAGATCACTCGTTTCAAGGTGACCATCTCTGAGCTGGATGAAATATCTTCGCTTGAGGATCACATCCATTTCCTGCAGGTCAGAGGAAATTTCAAGCTTTGCAGGAATGTATGAGAGTTTACAGAAAATGACCTCTCAATCAATTAATGTGGCATATTATTAGATCTTTTTTTTTGATTGATTATCTACTGAAGTTTTGTTGGGTAGTGCTGTCTGTTGGTTGATCTCTTTGTCTTTCTGTTTCTCAGAGTTACCCATCTCTTCAAGACCTGGATGACATCAAAGACTGGGCGGAGGTAGAGTTGGACACCTCCCTGTCTTTTGGGACCATGAGAAAAACTACAACAATTATGATGGAACAAATTCAACAGGAGCTGGAGAAGCTGACGTCCATTGGTAATAGTTAAATCAATGGTGTTAAATGTTAAAAGACTAAAAATAAAAAAGTAGATCTAAAACTATTTATTTATTCCACAGAACTTAAGAGAGTTCCAAAGTTTACAGGTACGTGATATATTCAATTTCTTCCTAATTGAAAATAAAGACTTTACTGTTTAGATCATATAATTACTTTGAGTTTGTACTGAACAGTGGACGTAAAGCTGGATCCAACCACTGCGCACCCACGCCTTGTTCTTTCTCATGATGGGAAAGAGGTGAAAGATGGAGGGGAGAATCATGAAGTCGATGATACACCGGAGAGGTTCGACAAGTTTGGCAGTGTCCTGGGGATCAACAGCATGACCACTGGGAAGTCATACTGGGAGGTGGATGTTAGCAACAAGGCCGGGTGGGATCTGGGTGTGGCAAGGGGCAACGCAAACCGCAAGGGGAAACTCTCAGTGAATCCGGACAACGGCTACTGGGTGACTGTGCATTATGAAGACACAAAGTACGCCGCTATGACAGCGCCACCAGTTCGTCTTTCCCCGAAAGAGAAACCTGAGAAGCTGGGAGTGTTTCTGGATTACGAGGAAGGTCTCGTCTCTTTCTACAATCTGACGGCTCAGTCTCACATCTACTCCTTTACCGAGTGTCCGTTCAGGGATGAGCTCTTCCCGTATTTCAGTCCACATGTAAAACAAGATGATAAAAATGGTGATCCTTTGATTATTTCTGCTGTGAAACAATGTGAACAGGTAATGGATGAGTCATGAGGAGTGTGTGCGCGGACAAAGCCTGTGATGTAACTAATTAAACCGCAGAATAAGGCGAACATTAATTTACTATATTACTTAACTGTATAGGCCATGTTTCCAGGGAAATAACTGAAATAAAAAAGGTATGTAGTGGAGTTTTTGACCACTACTGGTGCTATGGAGAAACTATTTTGAATCAGTCCCTGAGAGCATGGATTAAACGGATGTAACCAATCCAGGTTTCACAAGTTAGAGAATATATATATAAAAATTGTTTGTCTATGTCTAAAATGTCTATTTTATTTGGTCATGATAAAACTGTTCTGTTGGGGATGTGAAGTCTACATACTATGTATTCTTTTTACATGTGGTGTTATTCCAATTTGTGTTTTTTTTCTTTGTGTTTTTTAATCTCAAAATCAAATATAACATTTTATATTTAAAAATTATATTTATCTCTGTCTCTTTAATTCACCGCTTGGAACAGATTTGTATTTCCAGGGGTGTAGTAGTGAGGGTAGGGGGCAGGGCACTTAAAAGTGAAGTGTCAAGTGTGTTTCTAGTGAAGTGTTTTTAGTATGACGGCTCTCCACGAGGAGGGGGAATGAATGATTCATTCACAAAGAGAATCCCTAAAAACTTTCTGGATGTCCTGGTGCTCCTCCGGCCCGACGATGCAACGGCCCACGGACCAGAGCGACACCGGTCTGGGTATATTTGGTGTATTTCACAACGACATGTGATCATGTGTGGGTTTAGTAAGAAGTGGGCGTTTGGCGGGTTTTCTCTTTTGAACGGAAACGAAACTGAAAGCAGAAAAAAAAGACATCGGCAGTCAGAGAGGTAACAGAAGAGCACGGAAGAAGACACAAGGTAGGCATCATATCAATACATTTTATTAAAAGGTTTGTCTGTTCAACACAAATTAAGAAACGCTGTTAACTGACTTGCAGGTGCATTATAAGTTGTTTTTTTTTATTCCAGATAAAATAATTTGCCAATATACCATCCTTATTCTGTCTCGTCTTGTTTTCATTTCTATGTTTTATTTATTTGTGTTCTCGGCCTTGGGTACCTTGAAAGGCCTATAAAAATTTAAGTTATTATTTAAAAGTTTTAATTGAAAATAATGATGATGTCTGATGAATAGCTTTTTTTCTGGATGAAAGACTCACCAGAAAAAGAGAGAAAAAAAAAACATTTAAAAAAGCCTTAACATAATATTATATTATATACATTTTATAGGCTGTTCTGTGAGTCTGTTCCTCTTTTATTCTAAAAGTACTGAACCAAGTTGCACAAAACTTGGTGGAGGGATGGGGCTCGGGCATGGTAAATGGGCGGATGCAGGAATTTCCCTTTTCCTTATTTTTCTATCATCAGCTAGACAGCTGTGTGGGAACGTTTGGCCTCGGCTGAGATATGCCTTTACATGAGTGCCAGTCTAGTTGAGAACATGTTTGTCTCTTTTATTTGCCAATTGAATTAATAGGCAAGTAATTTCTTGAAAAACTGAGTATATTTTAAGTAGCTCTGTATCCAAAACCAGTGAATTAGATAAATAAAATGAATGTCAAATGAATTTGAGATTCAGATGAAATTTCTAATATTTGCTCTGCCTAAAAGGGAAGTAATACCTTGAATATAAAAACAACACATGGTACAAGTGTGGAGAGAGGGAAGCTTGTCACTTTCACTACCTGGTTTGCTGCAGCTGTTGCAGCCCCACCTCTTGTCATGATCATCTTTCTCATTCACATACTGTATCTTTATGTGTGTCTAAATATAAACAGTACTTGTCTTATTACATGCTATCCCTGTAGCTGATTAGTTAACAGTCAGATCAATGACCCTACTACTTATGCTATTTTTTAGAGCATTTATCATTATCCTACAGTTGTCACCTGTGGCAACAGTGGCCAAAATCACATTCAGTAGTCTCATCACTTTGAGTTATCTGTTTTAAATATTACAAAGCGTCATTTGAAATGCCAAAAGTGAATAGACCGAGACCCAAATGCCATATTATCTCTCTAATTTACATCATGGTGCTCTCTTAAAGCAGATATGGCCTCCGCTCCAGCATCATCCAGTGAGACCTGCTCATTGGACGAGCATCTAACATGCTCCATCTGCATGGAAATGTTTGAGGATCCTGTCACTACAGATTGTGGCCACTCCTTCTGCAAGAAATGTCTGGACCTCTGCCATGAGTACGCTCACCTGTGTCCCATGTGCAAGAAGCCTCTAAGCAGAATCCCGGATGTGAACATCGTCCTGAGAGACATCGTCCAACAGCAAAAGGTGGAAAAGATTAAAGAGGAAGATGATGATATTTACACTGGGGAGGACATTTACACAGACCAGACGCTGAAGGCAATGAAGTCCTGCCTCGTGTGTCTTGCCTCGTATTGTTCGACCCACCTGGAGAATCATTCTTCAACTGAAAGGCTGAAGGGCCACAAGCTGGTGGCACCTGTGAAGAACTTGGATGAAGATTCGAAGGAGGTTGTCTCTACTGAAGACCAACAGGGGAAGAAGGTGAATTAACATGGAAGACTATAATTTTTTATTCAAATTTTTACATTGTGAATATTTGATTCAACCTGCTGGATAAATTGATAGAGTTGCAAAAACACCAAAAAGAAGTACACAAATGAAAAGATCACTGTGTATAGTTGTTAGGGTTTCATCATATTACATCGCAGAATGTGGGACTGAAAGGAGAATGTGTGAAGTTGGGATAGTGACTTGTTTTGTTGTTTACTGCAGGTAAAAAACTGAGGATCTTGACCTACCATCGCCACAAACAAGACAAACTTAACAATGCTAAAGCACTGGAACAAGAGGGAAAAAAACAACAAATCTCATTGCACTCTAAAGCAACATTATGGTTTGTTTGTGTTTTCAGAGCTTCCAGGTTTGTCAGATTTGTGGCTGGTCCAAAATGACGACTTATCGGGGCCTGAGAATTCACCAGGGGAAGAAGGGATGCATCCCGAAGGGAATGAAGATCCCAAAGACAGAGCAGCGCAACTGGCAAAAGCTGGGGGAAATGGAACTGAAAGTGGATCAACGGAGACGTCAGCCAGCGAGGAGACTGACTTTCAAGGAGGAGGTATGAGTTCTAGCAAACCATTTGTGCAGACAGCCATTGTTCCCAGAGGATGAATCCTGATGACTTTTCTGACCTCACGCCACCATGAGATTTGTGAAAAATGTCTTCACAACAATTACACAGCTCTCAAATCTTTTGAACATTAATGCAACCCCCAGGATGAATGGCAATAACTTTAAAAAAGGCACCATCATTAAGTCATAACTGTAAATGTTAGTATGCTAACATGCTAAACTAAGATAGTTAACTTGACTTTGTATTCGTCAAACATCTGCATGTAAGCATTGTAATTGCGAGCATGTTAGCATATTGGTGTTAACATTTAGCCCAAAGATCATTATTTAATTCATTCATTAATTCATTGAGTCAGTCATCAGTATTATGATCTTGAATAAGTATTATCAACTTATCTTCAACTTTCCACCTTAACCTGATAGCATTTGCCAAAACCACCAAGCAGGAACGTCCGTCCCAACTCTGCAGCAGCAACAGCCACAATCAACAATGGATACAATTCAGGTACGTACAAGATTATAATTCAGTTAAAACAAGGTTCTGTAATGAAACCTAAAAAAAAAAAACAGAAAAGCTAAGGCTGGGACTGATCGTCTTCTTTCACTGCAGCTTTTGCCACTTCCCAACGCTCTTCCCTAAGAACCACAATGTCAAATCCAGGCCATCCGCAGCAATATTTCCTCACGCTTCCACAGGTAAAGCAGATTCATGAATAGATGAAGTTCTGACTTCAAATTGACAGATAATGAAAAATAACATGTAGATGGGATTAAAATCTTTCAGGTGAGTACGGCGCTTCCACTTCCTCCACCACCAGTAGTCCGACCTAAGGAGAAAAGAGTTTATCCAACAGTATCACAGGTACTTAACTGTTGGTTTTAGATGCTACATTTTAAATGTCGTTTTCTTTTTAAGTATTTTTGGTGACTTTTGTGTCTTCATTAGAGTGCAGACAGGAGAGCAATGACAGGAAGTCAGCGAGCAGCAGCAGCCACAATCAAGGATGAGCCTATATCATGTATGTACAGAAGAGGAATTAAGGTTTATTCAAAATGAAATTATTGAAAAATCATTCTGAAACTTAAAAACCATTGTGGTTAAAAATGCCAATATCCATTTGCAGTTCCACAACCTCCTTTCCAAAGAGCCCCAAGGTCAAAGCCGGGCCATCAGCAGCAATATTTCCCCACCCCTCCACAGGTAAAGCAGATTCACGGACAGTTGAAATTCTGACTTGAAAGTGACACACAATGAAAAGTGACATGTAAATGGGATTAACATCTTTCAGAGGAGTATGTCGCTTCCAGTGGCTCCACCACCGGCAGTCCGACCTAAGGAGAAAAGAATTAATCCAACTTTATCACAGGTACTTAACTGTTTGCCTCGGGTGCTATATTTTAAATTTCATTTTTATAAACTGACTTTTTGCCTTTATTAGATTGCAGACGGTAGAGCAATGAAAGAAAATCAGAGAGCAACAGCAGCCACAATCAAGGAGGAGCCCAAATCACGTACGTACAGGATTATGATTCAGTCCAAACAAGAGTGGGCACGACAGTCTGAAAAATAAAGCGGCTAAGGTTGGAACTGAACTCCTCCTTTCTCTGCAGCGGTTGCCATTTCACCAAGGCCTTTCCAAAGACCCACGAACCCACCGTCAGCCTATCAGCTGCCAGGTTTCTACACTGGTGTGCAGGTGAAGCAGATTTACTGGAAAACTCTCACCATGAAAAAAACTGAATACAGGTCTTTCTATTCTGTTCTATTTTCTTTATTGTGTTATTTGTGATACCATTTAATTCATATCTTTCAGGTGAACGGATTGGCCAGGGAGCGTCCATCAACTCCACCTTCAGCAACAGTAATGCAGCTGAAGGAGAAAGACAGGAATGATAACGTGATTATTAAACCATTATTTAAGGCCCTATATTACAATTTTCAGTTGCTCAGTGGGGCTTTGTGTGATGTATAAAAGGACATAAAGTATATTAAAAACTGTTAGTGTGCAAATTTAGAAGTAGCTGTGACAGACACACCTGATGCTTTCTGCTTTTGTCCCATTTTGTGGCCATTTATTCAGCACTTTGTATCCCACAGGGTGTATTAACAAGATGTTCTTCTCATCTGTGTGTGTGTTCTTTCATTCAAGGCGAGACAAGAGAGACTGAAACTTGAATTACAGCAGGAAATTCAAATGAGGAGAGAAAAAATGAGTAACATGACACCAGCAGAGAGAGCCTGCGAGGTACTGCAGCTATATATTTTTTTTTAACTCTGGATTCTGTGATTTCTGTTTTGAGCATTATGGATAGTGAGAATTATCAATGAATATCTTCACCTACAAGAAAGTTGTATAGAAGTTGTGTAGATATTTGTCTTGGAATTGATGTAAAGTGTAAAACCAGCTGGAAAAGACTTTATCGCATGTACTTCATGTTGCACTTAAAAGTGAAATGCTTCAATATTAGAAATTTTCCATGTCTCTCTGACAGAACATCCCAGATTCACCCAGGACCAGCAGACAAACTAATACTGCAGCAGCAGCAGCAGCAGCGGGAGCAGCAGCAGCGGGAGCAGCAGCAGCGGCAGCGGCAGCAGATGCCACAACAAAACAAGATCCCAGCGTAGAAGGAACTCCTTTCGCTTCAGCCCCTCCAGTAACAGCGGTCGGTGCTCTCAGAATAAGACAATATACTACAGACAGTCTAATGGACCATGTCGGCAACAGCAAACAGCCCAGTGTTATTATTATTTGTTGGATTAAGCGTCTCATATGTTTTCAGGCGAAGCCTCTGACACGAAGGTTTTCAGCCACCACAGCCCAGGGAACAACAGTCCAACCAAAGGAGAAAGACAGGGAGGATGAGAAACTACCACAGGTACAGTACCAGTGCCTCTATTGTAGTGTATCCATGGCAATGTCCATCAGTCTGTCCAACCCCTTTAGGCCAGTCTGAAATATCTAACTGACTATTGGATGCGTTGCCATTAAATCTTCCATAGGTTTTCATTGTCCCCAGAGAATGAATCTTACTGACACTGAAACTGCGACTACTGATTTAATCTTTCCCATTGTCGGGATCTGCTGAGTTTCTGTTTCATGTCAGTGTAAAATTAATCTAATCCAGGTGTAGACGGTTTGACAGCAAATGCTTCAAACATTAAAATCCCGTCTCTCCGACAGCATGTGTCCAACTCAACAAGTACTGACCAAGCAAATACAGCAGCAGCAGCAGCAGAAGCCACAACAAAAGAAGACCCCGCATCATGTATGTACAGTAGCAGTATGGTGCATGCAACACAGGAAACGGCTCAATAGTCAGGAAAATTAAACACTTCCTGTCTTCCTTCTTTACAGATTGTGAAACTGCTGAGCCAGATTTCTCCACTGGCATGAAGGTGCAAAAACTATTTCATCACAAGCAAGCAGATCCTCTATTTTTTTTTTGCTAATTTTTATTCCCATACTTGTCTGTTTGGTTTCCTTGAAGCCCAGTTGTTGAATTTATCCACACACTTTAACGGCTGGTTTCTTTGCTGATAGTGTAGCAAATATTAGGACCTCATCTGTCAGGTATAAGAAACTTAGGAACCAAAATGCAGACGGACAAAAAAAGAGGTTTGGTGGGGGGAAAAAGGTCATTTGATAAAGAAAACCAAACTTACAACTCAGGCAAAGCAGAACTCAAACAAACAGAATCCAGGTAAAAATCAAGAACAAAAACCAGAAGCTCTAGGAGACACAGGAGAAATGTGACTGGAGCAAAAACAAACTGACAAAGACAGAGGGGAAGACGCAGGTGTAACACATTAGGGCGGGGCAGGCAATCAACAAGGAGGGAAACAGGATGAAAACAGGAAGTAAAATTGACCTTGAGAAACACAAGGAGCTCATCAAAATAAAACAGGAAATGACATAAATGTGCAAACATGAAGAATCCATTATCACTTGAGTCCAGCTTGCACTTCATGTTTTCAGGTGAAGGATCTGGCCCGGATGTTTTCAGCTACCACAGCCCAGGAAACAGCAGGTCGACCAAAGGAGAAACACACAGAAACAATATCACAGGTTGTGTGTAGATGTTTCACCTCACTGTGGTGCCAGATAAGATGTGTACAGATGTAGTATTGTTTTTGCCAGTTTTATTCTTTCTGACCTTCAGGGTAGTAATGTACCATCTTCATATTATAAACTAATGTTACTGTCTTGTTACTATATTTTGCTGGATACTTAAGTGCCTCATATGTTTTAGGAAAAACCTGTGGCTCTGAGATTTCCAGCCACCACAGCCCAGCAAACATCAGTCCAACCAAAGGAGAAAGACAAGGAGGATCAGAAACAATCACAGGTTCAGTACTAGCACTTATATTGTAGTGTTTCCATGGCGATGTCCATCGGTCTGTCGGTGTCGTCTGTCGGGGTGGACTGTCTTTCCGCCACTTTAGTCCAGTCTGAAATATCTAATTAACTATTGGAAGCATTGCCATTAAAAATCTCTCTCTCTAAAATATCTGAGTCACTTTTCACACAAAAACTCAAACTACTCCCCAGACAGCGAAAATAAATCCGGCCCATCCTTGGGCCACATTCTTGTCTTCTTCTGGCTCAGTATACGCCCGGTTTCACCGCCTGAATCTGGCCCACGTACAGCAGGATTTCCAGATGCTAACGCCACATTCTGGCGCACACACAGAAAATCTTCTGGTTGTCAGCCAATACCGGAGGATAACAGCTGGAATCTGCCTAGATGTGGAAGTACATTGGCCAGAATAAGGGCTGAGGACAGATGTTGGTCCAGAAGTTTCATTTTGCTATCTTTTCCATTGTCAGGCTTTGTTTCTGTTCTCTGTTTTATATCAGTGTGAACTGAACGTCTTCGGGCTCTAGATGGTTTATTGGACAAAACAAGACATTTTACGTCGTGGTATTGGACACAGGGGCATTTTGTTTTCTGACATGTTAGACAAAAAAGAATAACTGATTAATCTAGAAAACAACCAGCAGATTAATCAAGATGAAAATGATCATTAGTTGCTTGCCTGTAATATATAACACCACAAGCATTAAATGATACTTTTCAAGAAAATCATGCACTGAAACTGAAACTGCAATAATCAGTTTGGTAGCAAAACCCTCAAATATTAAAAATCTGTCTCTCTTTAACAGAATGTGCCCGACTCAACAAGTACTGACCAAACAAATACTGCAGCTGCAGCAGCAGAAGCCACAACAAAAGACGAGTCCACATCATGTATGTAGCAGTATGGTGTATTCAATGCAGGAAATTTCTACGTAATGAAAATGAAACTGTCACTGTCCTCTTTCTCCCCAGTGGGTGAACCTGCTCAGCCAGATTTCTCCACTGGCATGAAGGTACAGAAACCTCCTGACTTACTGGAATATGTTGTGGAGCAAAAACAATTTCATCACAACATATTTTTAATAGTCCATGTCATTGTCATTTGGATCTGAATGTTTAACCTGTTTTCAGGTGAGGGAACTGGCCCAGATGTTTTCAGCAACCACAACCCGGGAAACAGCAGGCCGACCGAGGGAGAAACAAACACTAGCACAGGTTGTAGACCCCCTGCAGATCTTATGTTTCACCTCATTATGGTGCCAGACGTGAGAGGTCTGCTGGAATACAGAAAGTGATCAATGTTGTATTCTTATATTCTCCTGTCTCATTTCTTTGTGAACTTGTTTAAAGGTTACAATATGCAAACTGTCCTAAAGTTGCTCCAGGACTCATTGCGATACTTAATAGTCTCATATGTTTCAGGCGAAGCTTCGGGCTTGGAGGTTTCCAGCCGCCGCAGCCCAGCAAACAACAGTCCAACAAAAAGAGAAACACAGGGAGGATCAGAAACTATCACAGGTAGCCTACAGTCATTCACAGTAAAAAAAACTCCAGCGACACATTTTTCATCTTTTCCTTTGTTGACACATTGAACCCTGGGAAATTGTTTGGGGCATTTTTCACTGATTTCTGACATATTTTATAAAATACAAATATTGAATAATGAATCAATGAAGGAAATGATCATTGGTTACAGCCCTAGAATATATAACATCATCTATATCTATAGCAATTTATGTACTTAATTCCCTAAAGAAAACAAATTCAAAGTAGTAATCAGTTATATAGCATTATAAACTTTGTCTCTTCCTCTGACAGAAGGTGCCAGATTTAACAGGTGCCACCACTAAAATGAATCCTACAGCAGCAGAAGCCACAACTCGGGAGGATCCCGAATCATGTATGTGTAATGGCTTATTCAACACAGGAAATTAATAGATATGGGAAAATTTAAGAAGTGTGATTGACAGTGACCTTCCTCTGTTTGAACAGCTTGTGAACCTGCACAGCTCTCAGATTTCTCCACTGGCATGAAGGTACACCTGATTTGTTCTATTACAGTCCTTTTTCAGCTGTTGCACGCACACTTCTACGGGTCCAGTTTACATTGAGTGTTTTTCAGGTGAAGGAACTGGCTCGGATGTTCTCGGCTACCACAACCCAGAAATCAACGGTCCGACCAAAGGAGAAACACTGAGAAAAATGAAAACTGGCATAGGTGGTGGATCTACTGTAAATCTTATTTTTCATGACACTGTGGTGCAAAGGCACCGCTGGTTAGTTCTTCAAGTGTTTTCCCCCATCTGTGTTCCCATTTAAACTTTTTCTTTAAATGATATCCTCAATATTAGGCCTACTTAGCATTCAAACACTGAGCTCTCCCGCATAATATAAGGATCCCATGTATGCTATGCTATTTGCTATCAATTACACGCAGGCCAGCTTAACTCTATGCTGTATGTTTGTTGTTTGCAAAAAAGGTTTTCAATGTGGTGGCTAATGTGCTGCTACATGATTATTAAACTGTGGCCAGATGATGCTAAGATGCCATTAGCAAGTGGTGGGAAGGATGTTTGTGTCGGTTACTGGGTGGTTGCTAGGACATATAATCAGTAGGATACTTGTCTTACAGCCAAAGCTTTTTTATTTTTTTTGAGAAAATAGAAGTGATTTCTCTTACAAGTAAAACGTTTGAGGTGTTTTGCTGCTACATATCGCTTTATTTGGTCTGAAATGACCAGTAGCTTGTGATAGCTAATGTTAGCAAACCTGATGTATATACTGCGGCTGACATTTAGTTTGCTTACTTTATGATTCTTCTTTACTTGTGCTACATTAACTGTATTTTAGCTAAATGCTAAACTGCTGTTTGGCTAAACTACGGACAAGAAGTGAGCATTATCCCATAACTGTGTCTAGTAGCCACAGTGGTATGTCGTATGATCATGCGTAGATAGTGCTAGAAAACTAAGGTGGAGTCACCTTTTGTGCATACAACCCATTAGTTCTGGTTAGTCCTGTGTAAGTACCTCATGTACATCCTATTAAACCTTATGAGAACTTATGATAAAGGCCGTTCTTTCTGACCTTCATAAATGCCTTATGTATGAAAGAGAATTAGGACCACATGTGAAAAAAAATAGTATTTTAAGGTAAAAAAAATGTACATGTCCCTTATCCTCTTCAGTACCTATCAGATACATATGAGAGGTTTTGTTTTTTCTTAGCTCTGGGATCTGGGATAATGAATATGGGAGTCACTGGGAATGTAATTTTACTATGAGCTGTACAGAGCATATTTTAACTGTGTCTGTTTCAATACATTTGTTAAATAAAAATCCACCATTAAACATTTGAGTTGTAAGTACCATTCATGCTGTTGCATATTTAAATGATGCGTCAAGTTATCTGAAACTATGACTGGTGTTGCTTAACATTTTAAGGATTGCAATTTGCCTTTGTGTTGCATGTTAAGCTATAAAGCCAGTTAAAAGAAAGCCTGCGGATGGTTTTGCATGAAACGAAACTGACAAAGCTGAGAGTGAAGAGAGGAGGAGAGTCGGGGTTGAAAAGATCATTCATTCAGAGGAGCCTCGAAGCAGCAGAGTGGAAGGTAAGCTGCTGGAAGTCTAATCGGATGTTATTATAACTTTAAAGATACTTTGTGATAACTAGTTACGATGAAAGATAAAGAAAAAAAAGTCACGACACAGCTTATATGTTCAGTGATTTATGTTCCTTTATATGAAGAGAATAATGTCCGGATGACGAATGAAATTATATTTAAAAACTTTTGTACCTCAAACATCAATTTGAGACGTGTTTTAAAAGTTATTTGACAAGATGTTATGTCAAAAAAATAAACATTTAAGCCGTGTGACCCTACATACATACAGGTTGTATACTGTTTACAATACAAACTAATGATATGGCAAATCCAAAAACTGCAGGGGTCAGGGTGTGTACACAATACAGGGAACAATGTGTGAGTACAGACTGTCCTGCTGCTGGTGAAAACCATGTTTCCTGTAGTGAAAGTCAATCCACCTGTGCTTATAGTGTGACGCCAGTAAAGGAGAGAAATATTTTTGTGGTTGGTTTGAAGTGATGTTTTACATTGTGAAACATCTGAACTGGATTTTTTTAAAGAATTATAATAGAGTTATCTATTGTTTTTCTCGACTTTTCTCTGGTCTCCATGTCTTACTAGTATTCAAAATTTTCCACCGATAAATTTTGATTGGACTTACTCCATAGTTAAAGCTAATGGCAATGGCAATGTTTTCTTGGAGGTTTTGTCCATCAGGAATTAGTCCATACTGTATCTTAGCATAGTGTACAATATACTCAGTGCCACTAGGGGGCGACTAGGTACCGTCTAATCTCAGTACTTCACACCCAGGCGAGAACAGTAGCAAATGCAGACATTCTACAGTAGATCTAACAATAAAAAGTTATGGTGGACTTGTGAGCATTAAAATCTTCAAATGAGGATTTAATTCCTTTTCAAAATTTCTCTCTCAGGGAATAAAGCTTTAAGACAGGTGTCCCCTTGTAGAGTTAAATAGGGGATGTAATTTGAATTTATTCTTTTTTATATCACGTTTGATGCATTAAAATATACAAATGTTTTCTACAGATACTCAACACATCCAACATGGACCTCCAGGTTTGCTCCTGTGGCTGGTCCAAAGTGACGACCTACCACGGCCTGAGAATTCACCAGGGAAGGATGGGATGCACGCCGAAGGGAATGAGGATCCCTGAGAACGAGCACTTCGGATTTAACAGTTACCGTTCTGGGTTCATGACACCAATCAACTTGGAGGTGCCTGTATTGGATATACCCCCTCCCCGTAGGAGGTCTGGTGAGTTGTTGCACTTGCTGCAGATGTCAGGTGGAGTAGAGGGACTGACTATAACAAGGGTGAGGGAAAAAGCCCCATTAAAAGACAACAGAACAAGAATACACATAGAAACAACTGAAAGCAGCGTTGTTTTAAAGGTGGCCATGCTCTTTCTCTACAGTCTTTGAGACTCCTCAGCGCTCTCATGGTGCGTGGCAGGTGCAGCAGACACTTCCTGTGTATCACGTAAGTATGACTAGTTTGACTTCATCAGTAGATCCATCGCTGAGGGAAAAGGTCTACTGTACTTTTTTAAAGATTATGTTCAGGATTAATGCTAAATCTGTCCACAGGAGAACAAGATGGAGATAGAACGGGAGAAAGAACGGGAGAAAGAACGAGAGAAAGAACGGGAGAAACAACGAGAGAAAGAACGGGAGAAAGAACGAGAGAGAGAACGAGAGAAAGAACGGGAGAAAGAACGAGAGAAAGAACGGGAGAAAGAACGGGAGAAAGAACGAGAGAAAGAACGAGAGAAGGAACGGGAGAAAGAACGAGAGAAAGAACGGGAGAAAGAACGAGAGAAAGAACGAGAGAAAGAACGAGAGAAGGAACGGGAGAAAGAACGGGAGAAAGAACGAGAGAAGGAACGGGAGAAAGAACGGGAGAAAGAACGGGAGAAAGAACAAGAGAAAGAACGAGAGAAGGAACGAGAGAAGGAACGGGAGAAAGAACGAGAGAAAGAACGGGAGAAAGAGAGGGAGGCTCTACTAAAGGTACGGCCCTTCTAATAATACAGAATATTGTTTTAAAACCAGCAGCATGGCTCTATAGGATCAGTTTATTGGTTCGTTGGTACCATGGTTGGTCCTTCACTTTGGTCCAGACAGAAATAGCTCAACAACTATTGCATGGATTGGGATGAAATCTGGCAAAGACACTCGTGGTCCCCAGAGGATGAAGACTGAAGACTTTCGTGATGCTCTTACTTTTCCTCTAGTGAAATGTCTCAATATCTACCTAGGCACCATCACCAGGTCATTGTCAGTATGTTAGCATGCTGATGTTCTGCTCATCTCAGAGCTGCTAGTATGGCTTTAGGCACATAGTGCATTCATGTGCTCCTCGGATAGGCCCAATTCCCGGTTTCTGCAAATGCGATGCGACCAGCTAACGTGGATTTTCCCAGTTGGAGACTTGTTTTTCCAATTATTCTGACGCCACATGAATGCATGAATACTTGTACTTTGTGTTTTCATTCAAGGCAAGACAAGACCGTATGAGGGCTGAGTTACAACAGAAAATTAAAATCAGGAAACAGCAGGTGGCCGAAGTCAGATTATCTGTAAAAGGCTGCAAGGTAAGGTTCAGCAAATTTTCCCTTTTTTATTTTTTATTATAGTTTTGATTCATATTTCTTTAGCATCTCCACTGTCCATTACTCTTTTCAGGTTAGCTTGGATGCCGAGTGGCTGAAGATCAACAGTGTATTCTCCGAGGCGAGGAACGCTGTGGACGATGCTTGGCAGAAAGCCCTTCAGCCTCTGGAGGAGAGGTCAGTTCTGAGTAGCTCACAGTGAAGAGCAGAAACAGTGATGACATTTGATCGATTAGGTCAGTCAGTGCTAAAAATGTAGCACAGTCAGACATTTTATTTGAAGTAACTGCCTAATGTACTGTGTGTTACTTTTAGGAGACTTAAAGTAAAGAGAGAAGAACAAGATCTGGTCCAGAGGCTGGAGAGAGAAATCGATAAACTGAAAACGAGCATTGATGAGCTGGACAAAAACCCAGACTTGCAGGTGACCTCCCAGGGATTCTGGCATTTTTTAAACATAAAACAAAAGCACAAATAGAAAATATCTTGATCAATTGTCATTCTGTCTTTATTTCTGATTCATCAAAGTGATTTTAAACTGACAACCTGATATTTCCCCCTAACAATCACACACAGGTCTCTCTGGACGAATCTAGAGATTTGAAAAATGTAAGTGTTGACACTTCATTCTCCTTCGGCACCCTGAGAACTACAACTTCAGCCATGATGGAACAAATTCGCCTGAACCTGGAAAAGCTCTCCTCTGTTGGTGAGTCCTTCCGTCTGTTTATCAGGGTTCTTATTTCATTTAATCAAGATCTGGATGAAATTTTCTCACCTTGATGTAATTTGTGTCTCTGCAGAACTCATGAGAATCCCCACGTTTGCAGGTGCGTTTATATTTGAACATATTTGCAGCCTCAGTGCTGTATTTGGAGTGGATATGTTCTGTCATACCATGTATCAAAGGTCACTGTTACAAAATTTTCTCTGAAAAAAAAGAAGAAAAATCTAAATTTCCACAACTGACCTAAAAATATTTTTATTATTACTCAGTCTACAGATCCTAGAATAACATGTTTTCTGAAAAACGTGTCAAATGAAAACTGGCTGCAAACATTACACCTGTTTTCTTACACAAGCAGGAAAAGTTTGTACCAGAAACAGTTCATTTCAATAGAATCATCACAATTATTTTGTAGAAGCAAAAAAATTAAGTTAGGAACCTTTCTAAGCGAAAAAGACTGTTCGACCACAGCTCTTGTTTCAAAAAAGTAAACATTTCTAGATGTAGACCAGTCGAACTTCAACATAACGTGTTTGTTTGTACTATGGAGAAGGAAGTAGTATTTTAGTATTTTGCAGAATAGTTGAGCCTAAATAAAGATTGCTTTCATTAGTTTGAAGTACAATACATCAGCATACAGTATATGTGTGTAGTATTACCCATATGATATTTTTATTATTCTATTGTACTCAACTGCAGTGGATGTGAAGCTGGACCCAACCACTGCGCATCAATTTCTTGTTCTCTCTGATGATGGGAAGAAAGTGAGAGACGGAGGAAAGACCCGGAAAGTTCCTGACACTCCGCAGAGGTTTGACATGTATGGCAGCGTCCTTGGGATCAACAGCTTGACCTCTGGGAAGTCATACTGGGAGGTGGAGGTCAGCAACAAGACCGGGTGGGATCTGGGTGTGGCAAGAGGCGATGCAAACCGGAGAGGGGAACTTAATCTGAACCCGGACAACGGTTACTGGGTGACTGTGCATTATGAAGGCAAACGGTACGCGGCCCTGTCTGCTCCGCCCGTCTGCCTTCCCCTGAAAAAGAAACCTCAGAAGGTGGGAGTGTTTGTGGATTACGAGGAAGGTCTCGTGTCCTTCTATGATGTGACGGCTCAGTCTCACATCTTCTCGTTCACCGAGTGTTCGTTCAGCGGTGAGATCTTCCCGTATTTCAGTCCACATCTCAAACAAAATGGGAAAAACTCAGATCCTCTGATTATCTCTGCTGTGAAAAGGCAGTAGTGGTTATGAAGTGTGTGGGTGTGGCGGTCTGTTAGAGGGTTAGTGTGTAGCAATGTATATGTATGATGTATGTATCACAGCATCTAAATCTACATATAATATTTGGCATTTGTCAGATGTCTATTATTCTTTTTATTCACTTCTCTACCTGGCTCTTTGTATCCATTGTATATAAGGTGATGAGGAAATGACATTTAATGTAAACTCTATAGTTTGTACGTCACATTAGTGATATATCAAAGTTTAAATATCTAGAACTGGTGTGGGAACATTTTCTATATTTCCATTTTTGTGGTTTTGGTATAAAATAAATAAAGAAATAAAATGATGCATTTGTTGTAACTGACTATCGACATCACACACCACTGAATGCCTCGTGTGTGTATTTGTTTTCTTGCCCCCGATGGGTTGTGGGTAATGTGCAGTATCTTTGCAAGAACCCTCAAGAGCCTCTGCATTTTCACGCACGTCGTCTCACCACAGTGACTCAGCTTCACACATAAGCTTCCCACAAAAATACATTTTCTCACATACCAGAAAGAGCAGTTACTATTTGTCAGTACATGCACATTAGTTTATACTATTATTCACTGGTAAAGAGAGGAACAGTTTTGGTTGTACACAGTAACTTGAGTGTCGTGTAGTACCTTTGGATTTTCTTTCAAATTAATTATTTCTTTATTCTACTGACTGTTTCCACTGATTTTCCCCGGTGACAGAACATTATCTGATTTCATGTTTTTGGTTTAAATTTGTCCCCGGAGTTGAGATGATGTTGTTAATCATTCATTTCAGTCTTTGATGTTATGGAGAGGTTCTGTGGGGCTCAAAGGAAAGTTGGAAATGTTTCTCTTTTCTCTGTCAATTATCAATACATGGTGAAATGTGCCAGAGGTTGGATGACTGCTCCTGTAGAAGCGCAGTATTCCTGTTAAATGATATATGACTTATCATTAGGTGCAGCAGTGGGTACCAGGCTGTGTCATGATATATCTACGGGCGCTCTGAGAGGCAACACCATTCTCTAGCCCTGATGTATCGTACCTCTAAACTGCCTACACTCACCCAAGCAGAGAGCAGATTGTTGGTGGCTTGACCTTGCTGTAAGTCTGCATTGTCTACTTAGGCTAAGCCACAGGGGCTGTTCTGCATTTTCATTAGTCTCAACAGTTTGCAGGTCAGATGCAGTGTGTGTACCTGCCCTCAACTTTCAAGGACCTGAATTTTATCACACATTGTTCCCCAAAAGTGCACTTCCTCATTCTCTGTAAATGGCAGATGGTCTGTGTCAACACAAACATGCTCATCTCCTTATAAACTAATTACAATGGACATATATGGTGAAAAGTAAGTTTGCAGTATTTTGATTGGCCATCAATGTCTTTGATTTGGGTTAAAATGATTGGTTGCTCTAAACTGTTTACAAGACAAGAGATTTAAAAAGGAGGAATGTCTTTGGACGTTGAGCACAGACTTTAACATCAGCTGGTATCGATCATCTCCAGATTAACACGGCAACAGAGAAAGGTGAGAAAACATCTTGGTTACTTTCATTAATTTTACCTCCATTTTAAAAATGACACTTGGAATTTATTGTCCCTCCTTTTATTCAAAATAGTGTCTGACATTATAATCTATACCATTCAATAGGCAGATGCTGCACCCAAAGGATTATTTATTATCTCTGTATTTATTTTTTATTTTATTAATTTTTATTAATTTATTTTTTTAACTTTTAAATCAATTCAATAGAGCTAGAACTCAATAAAATTGTAAAAAACAAAAACAAAAAAAACAACAGCTCTTTTTTTCTTTTTCTCATTCTCTCTAGACAAAATGAACATCATTCTCCTGACTGCCATCATCGTCACTTTAGCCCCTGTTTGCGGGGGGCAAAGCGTGTTTGATGGCAACATCACGGACTGGTCCGACTTCTCTGACCAGACCTCCCTCCACTTACAACCCTGTCAGAGAGGGAACAGCATCGGCAGCTACAATACATTTGTCCACAGACACATCCTTCAAGAGTACTTTGACAGAAATTCTAAACATCAGTGGAAAAGGTGACTTTTGAACATTTTGAATAATTATTTCCTTGTGAAAGAGCCAGGAATTATTAACAAAGTTTTAATTGAGTGCAATTCTTCTTAATCCTACTTCAGTCCTAAATGCTTATGCAACTGTCAGCTGCTGTTTGGTTTTCTATTTTCTTTATTTTTAAGAATAACACAGCGAATGACCTGGCAGTTAGACTCGGTTCAAACAACAACAGCTATTATATCTGTTTTATCAAAAGGTTGCATTGTATTTAAATCTGCAGCAGAATAATGTCATTTGTAGGTAATTAAAGTTTCCTTCCATCATGGTGTAAAATTCATCCACATTAAAAAAAAAAAAAGAGAAATGAATAATTAGAAGAAATTGGATGGACTTAAACAATGTGCAGTGAAATATTGATTTCTGTCATTACTCCCTGACCCTGGAGGAGAATGATATCTCGCTCCCATGTATGCAAGACATTATGGAAGTGACAAATAAATCTGTTTCTGGTTTCGTTATACAGTTATTTACACAGAAAAGGACTCTGTGGCAGAACTCTGGTGCAGACCTTCATCGATGCCGGAGTGGGAGCTGTCCAGCAGATCTGCAGCTGGTCAGGCCGCCGCCTGTGGGGTCACTCAGGTAACTTGTGCATCAGCAAGTCATGCATGCAGTTGTATGATGTCAGATCTAGCCACAATTGCCGTTGTATTAGGGTACAAAAATACAAAAAGAAAGTGATTGTGGCATGTGATAAGGTTTATAATCAGTGCCTCCCTGTCCATTTTGAGAGAAACAGAGGCCAAAGGTCGAGCAATAGACCCTGTGCTTGAGTTTCTGGAGGGTCAGTGGACACTCAGTTCCAGTTGTCAGGTTTATTATTCCTTGACATCTAAATATTTCTATCAAGCTTTGCAAATGATTTTTGCTCATAAAAATATCAAGAAATATTGGCATGTGATTTTTTTTTTTTTTTAAAGCAACACATTCTTTCTGCCCCCACGACATTTAATGAAACGAGCATGTTGTCAGGATGAATATGTGCTGTGCATAACAGAAAAAATGTTTTTATTATATAAATGATGTGATTTAAATTGCCATTCAATCTTCCTATTAAGCATGTTTTCTGCTGTGACAGAAGTACATTTTATGCTACAGCTCATTTACAACTTAAAGAAAAACTGTAAGCTACTGGTACATAAACGTAAAACCCAAAGTTTTGTTTTCAGCTGGATTAGAATTCACTCGACCACTTGAAATTAATTTCCCTGTAATTTGTATCAGTTAACTCCTTTTGCATAGATTGGTTTTGTCACACTGTGTTGTAATCCTTTTTTTTTTAATTGCTTGGTATACAGTCAAATGCCTTCTGTCAAAAGGATTCTCATGTAAGATTACTATCATGTCTTTCTTTTGGCAAAAAAATGTTTGAATCTGTGAAATCTGTGATTATTTTATTCTTTAAGACGCATATCATTAATGATAGCTTGTTGCTGATGCTGTTTTCTGAGTTCATTTGTTCATGTGAAGAACTGATATTTTCTTCTGTGTTCTGTAGAACTCACAATAAATACTGCAAATTGATGATGGTGTTATTGGGCGTGCTGGTGTTGCTGCTTATTACACATGACGTGTGATAAGGAACTGCATACATTCTACATTTAATGCAGACATACAGTAAACATACTTTATAGTTTGTATTATTTTTCCCTTAACGGTTTAATTTTTCTTCTACATAATGACATTTGTTGTAACCATCCATCATGACACCCCACAGAATACTTCATCCATATGCATCAGTTGATCTGTTGACAGGCAGCCATATTCTAGGTTCATACCTCGTCCTGTTTGGGGTGGGGTCTCTAAATTTAGCGCCAAATGTGATAAATTAGCAAAAGAGAGAATGAACCAGTTCTCAGGTCTCTGCTCTGCCTATACACATTTCATTTGCATTGATGCAATTCTCTCTTCTAATCTTTAATAGAAAACACACACTAAAGAGATTAACAGCCAACACAAGGACATTAGACAAAAATAGCAATATGTGAAGTAAAATCCCTCTTCTGTGGATTTTTATTATTTTGCAGAATAGTTGAGCCTAAAAAAAGACTGCATTCATTAGTTTGAAGTATAATGCATCAGCATACAGTATATGTGTGGAGTATTACCAGTGTTACCAGCACTTTCATGAACTTGGTCTCACCACAGTGACTCAGCTTCACACATAAGCTCCCCACAAAACGACACTTTCTCACCTGTCAGGAAACGTTTCTCTTTTCTCTGTCAATTATCGATATGTGGTGAAATGTGCAGGAGGTTGTGTTATGTACAAGGCAAGGGCAGGCTGTTTGTTTTTGTTCCCTCCCTCCCTCTCTCTCTCTCCCTCACTTGGTTTCCCTCCAGGTGCTGATTGGTGATTGGGCTCCACCTGAGCAGACTAGTGGAGGATGTCTTATTGAGCTCCTGGCTGTCCCAGTGGCCAATCATCTGCCTCAAGTCCTCCAATAAAAGGGGAGCCTGAAGGAGAAGATCTCTCTCATTCTTCCTGATAGTAATAAGCCTGCCAGTTGTGTTTATAGATATGATGACTGCTCCTGTAGAAGCGCAGTATTTGTGTTAAATGATATATGACTTATCATTAGGTGCTGCAGTGGGTACCAGGCTGTGTCATGATATATCTACTGGCGCTCTGAGAGGCAACACCATTCTCTAACCCTGATGTATCGTACCTTTAAACTGCCTACGCTCACCCAAGGTGTGAGGGCTGACGTGTCGGGTGAGAACGCTGCCCTCTGTAGTTTGGGTTAGGGAGAGTTTGCTGCCTTTATAAGGACAGGTGTGGGCAATCAGCACCTCTTTGTCTGAATCCTGGTAGATGTGTGGTAGGACCGCTTGGTGTGAGCAGGTAAGGGAGAGCTGTGGATAAACGATGACTTTTCTGGGTTGATTGCAAATATAATGAAGTTTCTTGTATATTCAGATGTACAGAGGTTGTGTCCTGATCGAGTCTGTCTGATGCTCTGCCGCCTGGTGTTGACAAGGTGGGCCATAGGTTACTGTTTGGCTTGATCTAAATGTAGGCCTTTCACTAATGAAATAAAATGATTTAGTCCTTTAGGAAATGAAGCCCTCATCTTTCCCTCCAGTTTGAGCCAGAATATTTGGCTTTAGCAAGTTAACAAATTGTTTTAGTAACGTAGGAGAGTTATCCCCTCTGAGGTATTTTTGTCAGTTGTGTATATGATTTTCACCATGTTTTTCCTCCCTGCAGACTTAAGTGCCAGACTGCTGCTTTGCCCGGCCATCTTGCTTTGCTTGCCTGTGCCACTTCATCTACATGGTCTGGCTTAATTTGATTTGTTCTGTCGGAGCCAGTTCTTCCATATTGCCTGGTTTCACTGGCCTGTTTTAACTGGGACTAGACTCTAGTTTTTGTGTGGATTTCCCATGATTTGTATATTGTTGGTATCTACTGCTATACCATTCATTGGGTTCAGGAATGTCTTTCACTTTTTGTGAACCTGAACCAACTGAAATTCACACTTTGTTTTGTTTCATTTCCTTTCAGGCAGCAGAACGAGCTGTGGGGAGAACATGTGGCTTCCACCTTGCATGCAGTGTGGTAAGCTTAGTGGTGGTGGTCATTTGCATGTCTTGTAGTTTTGTTTCTACTTGCCAGCGTGAGTTGCAGTGTAGGCTGCGGTGTTAGCGAGCACCAGGTGATCACGTGGTGGTATTTATTGGGTTGTGCGATAGAATCTCCCCACAGTGAGTACGTTGTCTTATTTATTTTGGATCATAAGTACCACTGTTATTCCATACTGGGGTCTGTACCCTGTTAGCTGTTACTGTTTTAGCATTTATTAGATTTGATCAATAAAACTTTTCTGAATATAACCTTGTTCTCTTTTGTTCTCCAGGGCTGCAGCCACAAGTATTAAATTTGCTAAATAAATAAATATTTCTAGTAGTGAACTGAACGCACGTCTCTGCTCGAGCCTCTAAATTTGTATTGTGTCGACACGTATGAAGTTGGGGCCTTTCATGACCTATTGGTTTATATAGATACCATATTTATCTGAAAACTGTGCTGTCACCCAAGCAGAGAGCAGATTGTTGGTGGCTTGACCTTGCTGTAAGTCTGCATTGTGTCTACTTAGGCTAAGCCACAGGGGCTGTTCTGCATTTTCATTAGTCTCAACAGTTTGCAGGTCAGATGCAGTGTGTGTACCTGCCCTCAACTTTCAAGGACCTGAATTTTATCACACATTGTTCCCCAAAAGTGCACTTCCTCATTGCCTGTAAATGGCAGATGGTTTGTGTTGGCACAGACCATCACCTTATAAACTAATTACAATGGACATATATGGTGAAAAGTAAGTTTGCAGTATTTTGATTGGCCATCAATGTCTTTGATTTGGGTTAAAATGATTGGTTGCTCTAAACTGTTTACAAGACAAGAGATTTAAAAAGGAGGAATGTCTTTGGACGTTGAGCACAGACTTTAACATCAGCTGGTATCGATCATCTCCAGATTAACACGGCAACAGAGAAAGGTGAGAAAACATCTTGGTTACTTTCATTAATTTTACCTCCATTTTAAAAATGACACTTGGAATTTATTGTCACTCCTTTTTATTCAAAATAGTGACTGACATTATAATCTATACCATTCAATAGGCAGATGCTGCACCCAAAGGATTATTTATTATCTCTGTATTAATTTTTTTCTATAACTAAAAACATTTCAATAGAACTAGAACTGAATAAAATTAAGTGCATCTCTTCCAAATAACAGGTCTACACCACAGTGATATACTGAAGACTGTATATCAAAGTAGTTTCAAGTGAGATAATGGTTCATTCAACACTTGCAGTTGGTGTTGATCCTACACCTCATGTTTCACTAATGAACCTATTTTGTATTTCATATTTAATTTTTTATTTTTGAATATCACATTTTCAGTTAAACTTTCTCTCTCTAGACAAAATGAACATCGTTCTCCTGACTGCCATCACCTTCACTTTAGCCCCTGTTTGTGGGGGGCAAATCGTGTTTGATGGCAACAGCATGGACTGGTCAGACTTGGCATCACCCCTCTTACAACCCTGTCAAGGAAGGGGCTCCATGGCTAAGTATACGGCATTTGTCAACAGACACATCCTTCAAGCCTCCTTTGACAGAAATTCTATACAGCAATGGAGAAGGTGACTTTTAAACGTTTTAAATAATTATTTCCTTGTGAAAGAGCCAGCAACTAGTGCAATTCTTCTTAATCCTATTTCAGTCCTAAATGCTTCTGCAACTGTCAGTATATCAAATCATTGTTGGTTGCATTGTATTTAAATCTGCAGCAGAATGTCATTTGTAGGTTATTAAAGTTTCCTTCCATCATGGTGGAAAATTCATCCACATTAATAATAATTAGAAGAAATTGGTTGGACTTAAACAATGTGCAGTGAAATATTGATTTGTCATACCTCCCTGACCCTGGAGAACTTCGCTCTCATGTATGCAAGACATTATGGAAGTGACAAATCTGTTTCTGGTTTCGTTATACAGTTATTTACAAGGAAAGAGACTCTGTGGCAGAGCTCCGGTGCAGACCTTCATCGATGCCAGAGTGGGAGCTGTCCATCAGATCTGCAGCAGGTCAGGCCTGCGCGTGCAGAGTTCCCCAGGTAACTTGTGCATCAGCAGGTCACGCATGCAGGTGTTTGATGTCATATCTGACCAAAATTGCAGTATGAATAGGATGCGTGTACAAAAAGGCAGCCAGAAAGTGATTGTGGCATGTGATAAGGTTAATAATCGTTGCCTCCCTGTCCATTTTGAGAAAAACAGAGGCCAAAGCCCGACCAATACACCCTGTACTTGAGTTGACTCAGTTCCATTTGTCAGGTTTATTATTCCTTGACATCTAAATATTTCTATCAAGCTTTGCCAAATGATTTTTGCTCATAAAAATATAAAGAAATATTGGCATGTGATTTTTTAAAAGCAACACATTCTTTCTGCCCCCATGACATTTAATGAAACGAGCATTTTGTCAGGATGAGTATGTGCTGTGCATAACAGAAAAGTTTTTATTAAATAAATGATTTAAATTGTTATTCAATCTTCCTATTAAGCATGTTTTCTGCTGTGACAGAAGTGCATTTTATGCTAAAGCTCATTTACAATTATTTCGAATTATTTTCGATTAAAATTCACTTGACTACTTGAAATTAATTTTCCTTTAATTTGTATCAGTTAACTCCTTTTGCATAGATTGGTTTTGTCAAACTGTGTTGTAATCCATTTTTTTTTTTTTTTTTTTTATAAAATTGCTTTGTATACAGTCAAATGCCTTCTGTCAAAAGGATTCTCATGTAAGATTACTATCATGTCTTTCTTTTGGCAAAAAATGTTTGAAACTGTGAAATCTGATTATTTTATTCTTTGACACATAATTAATGATAGCTTGTTGCTGATGCTTTATTTACACTTTCATTTACTTGTTTTCTGAGTTCATTTGTTCATGTGAAGAACTGATATTTTCTTCTGTGTTCTGTAGAACTCACAATAAATACTGCAAATTGATGATGGTGTTATTGGGCGTGCTGGTGTTGCTGCTTATTACACATGACGTGTGATAAGGAACTGCATACATTCTACATTTAATGCAGACATACAGTAAACATACTTTATAGTTTGTATTATTTTTCCCTTAACGGTTTAATTTTTCTTCTACATAATGACATTTGTTGTAACCATCCATCATGACACCCCACAGAATACTTCATCCATATGCATCAGTTGATCTGTTGACAGGCAGCCATATTCTAGGTTCATACCTCGTCCTGTTTGGGGGGGGGGGGGGTCTCTAAATTTAGCGCCAAATGTGATAAATTAGCAAAAGAGAGAATGAACCAGTTCTCAGGTCTCTGCTCTGCCTATACACATTTCATTTGCATTGATGCACTTCTCCTAATTTTTAATAGAAAACACACACTAAATAGATTAACAGTCAACACAAGGACATTAGACCAAAATGCCAGTATGTGGTGTTGACCCGCGGCAAATTGTCTTGAAGGAGCAACATGGATGAAGCTGTAATTGTTCATTCATATAATTGTTTCTTATGCGCTCCCTGACAAGTTGACAAAAGAGATGAGGCACGGTTTGTGGTTGAGAGTCAAACAGAGGAAGAATTGAAGCCAAATATCACCACGAGTTGTGAAAATAATTTTCACCGTTGAGCAATAAATCTGTAAATTTGCAGTATTTTGACTTGATGTTAATCTGTTTGCTTTAGGTTAAAATTATTGGTTATCAACTGTTTACAAGAAATGATTTTTGAGATGGAGGACTGTCTTTAGACTTGAGCAAAGACTTAAACATCAGTTGGTATTGATTCTCTCCAGATTAACACAGCAACAGAAATGTGAGAAAACGTCTCTCCACTTGTCTCTAAAACAGAATTTTTGTCCAATTTAATTAATTTTATTCCTCCATTTCAAAATTACTTTTTTTGCAATTTTTTGTCTCTCTTCATTTATCTATCTATTGATTTTCTACAATAAGGTTCAAACTGCAACTGCTATGTGTTATATCAAAAGGCCCCATCATATTTTCCATTTTAAATCAGCAGCAGATAAATGTAATTTGTATTTAATTAAAGTTTTTTTTCATCATAGTGTACAATTCATGCACATTGGGGGGAAAAAAACAAACATAAGGAGAAAATGGCTAATTTTTTTTAAATTCACGCTTCTGCCCCAGCCTTTTTTGTATTGGCTCTCACCCACCACAGTTTTACACATACACAAGTTCCCCACAAAAGTGCACTTCTTCATTTTCAGAGATAGTTTATTTGTTTTGTCAAGTACATGCGCATTACCCTACTGTGCACTCATTTATTGTCAGTGATCATTGCGAAAGCGTAGTTTGCAGTACTTTGATTGGATGTTCACATGACAAACTAAGGTCACAAAACGGGACAAACATTCATCTTCTCCAGAGTATCACAGTGACATTTACTGTACCTCTGGCTGATTAGAGCATGTGAGACATCCTCCTTATTCATAACAAAGAAGATCACACACCAACCTGGCCTGGTCCTCTATACCTCTTTAAGATAAGCCTCGTCCACATGATGGCTAGAGTCCAATTAGGTCTAAAATAAATAAATAAAATTATTGTGCATAATAAAGATTATTGTGTTTTTTGTAACCTAAATCCCTGAGATCATTAAAGACATTTGCAGTATTACTATATATTTGGCATACACTTCAACCCCTGTGTACTTGTATAAAATGTATATAGATTAAACCCTTATCACTTCACAAAAACACTGATATACAAAAGCCCAACAAACTTTGCCTGAGACTCCATACTGTCTGACTGTCCCTTGTCTCCCTGCCTTTGTGCCGAGCACTGTTCTCTCTGTCTCATTTGCCCAAGGACACCATTAAATTAACATTTCCATAAGCACTTAATTCCTTTCTTATGAAGATTTCATCACCTTGCCCATGATATTACACAGGTCTTACTTGGTATTTTGCATTACCTCACTGGGTGCTCCTTCGGTGTGTCATGGCAAGGACAAATGTCCTTATCCCATTCACTCTCCACAGGAGTTCCCCAAGGATTGGTGCTGGGACCCCTTCTCTTTGCAATATACGATACCATGGATAACCAAATCAAATTCAAGTCATTAATGCTTGCCTTCAGAGTGACTTCTGAGTCTGCATCCATCTACTTCACTTGTTTGATTTACGTTAGTGATGACAGGGGTGATTCTTATAGAGCTAAAGAGACAAAAGAGGCTGAAGACAGCTCCCCTGCCTCAGAGGTGATCCAAATAACTGGAGGACAACAGGCAGTGGGAGAGGGACAATCCGTCAAGCTCCCATAGCCTTAATTAAGCAAAGTCATCCAACTGAAAACAACTTTACATCAGTAGCTCTTACATCAGTTGTGATGAAATGCCTTAAGAAATTTGTGGTTTCTGTGTTGAAAGTAAACGATTTCAGTTTTGAAACAGACACATTATTACTGCCATTATGCACTTGGTTTTAAAACATCTTGAGGATAGTAGAGCTTGCTCTTTAACCATATCTTTTAACTCAGAAACTTTAAGAACTGGATGTCAACTCTTCAGTCATCAAGTGGTATCACTTATTTTTAACAAACAAAACTCAGCAGGTTAAAGTCAACAACAGTCTATCTCGGCTCAAACTATCAGTACTGGAGCTCCACAAGGCTGTATTAGCTCACTAAGTTCTCAAATACTCAAGTCTTTAGAGGCATGATAACACTACATATATACTTACATATATACTCTTATATTCATTTATTGATATAATTACGTCATGCTCATAGTTATGCTCAATTGATGTACTTTGCTGGTTGCACTAAAGTTATACTGATTGTGATCCATGTACTAATTGTCATGTTTTACAACTTCTGTTATAGGCTACATTCATATTTCTCAGTATTGCTATTCATTACTCATTACATTTATTACTTATTTTACATTTTATATTTTTTCCATTTTATTCTCTGCATTGTCATGTTATACTTTGAATAGTAAATTTTCTTTAACTCTTGCAGAGGGAAGTGTATTTTGTTCAGTGACTCCTGCTGCAAGAGGATGTTTTAAAAGAAGATATTGTTCACCAGTCACCTTGTTATCATGGGGATTTGTGCAGACTATACTTACTGGGTGGAAGTTCATCATGCTTGTATTTGTTTTATCTGTCATTGCTTAGAAATATTTGAAATTAGCTCAGTCTTCGTTTGTTTTTTTTCTGAGCCTGATTTAAACTATCCTTATTGTATACAGGCCACAGTCGACATACTCTTTCCTGCAGGCCCCCAGCAACACTGAGGTTAGTTGGTTACCTTATCTGTGCATGAGTTCATTTATTCCCCACTTTCATCATCCAATAAAAACATTCACTCTTTGTTCTTTTCATCTCTGTGCACATTCAAATGCTTCTCCCTGGTTTCAGAATCAAACTGATTCAGAAGAAATGTTTTTTCCAACATGCTCTCATGGGATTGGGTAAAAAATAGCATGTTGGTTTTAAAGACATTTCATATGTTGTGTCGATGCGTTTGAAATTTTTCACGTAACGTTTAACATCATTTATTTCCCATAGACTCCTGCTGTGAAGAGTTGGCGCACGACCAAAATTTTACCGACAACACAGCCGGTTGAAATGAATCATTAAGGTGCAGGTTTGCTGAGTATGATGATGACTGGGTTAGGGCTTGGGTAGTGATAGGGGATTAAATGGCATGAAATGACAAATGAAAAGCAAAAAATGTGCAGTGATGAAACACCAAGAAATTGGTGTGTTATTCATGGTATGGCGGTGGACTTTAGGAGACCTCAGGTCAGCAAGATACATGCCGTTAAAACACAGTAAGTACTGTGATGAAATGAAGACAGAGGCTCTACTTCCTCTGACAGCTACACAGAAATATAAGGTCTCACCCTGCATCCTGAAGACCTTCTACAGGCAGTATCATCGCCTAGTACGTCCCCAACAATGGACTGTTGAAACTGCTGAGGTCAATACGTCAATACAATACGTTTCAAATTATTTGATTTATTAGTCTTTTAGCCATTTTCTTGTTCAGGTCCAGTATTGTATACCAATTTCTTTGTGTAAAAATTCTGTTGTGGCAATGTTGGAAATGCTCATCAAAGCCCTACTGGTGTGAATAGTTGGGTGAGCTTGGACCCTTTTATTTTTGCATGCGAGTCTAATTACACTTATTAGGGCATTTTAAATCAAATAAATGAATAATACAAAGTAATTAAATGTATGCTTAAACATAGCCCTGTTACATTGTCTGCAGATCACATACACACACTCACACACACACATACACAAATAGAGGTATATTTCACATAGCAGTGACAACAAAACAGCATTGGTTTCATAATTTTTTTCTTTTTCATTTTTAATGTGAGAGCAGAAACAAATTGTATTGTAATTTATTTATTATCCGATATTTGGCAGCTTTCCAAGATTGCACTAATTTTAAGACTGTCCAGTGAGTTTAGGTTTAATCTCTTTAGAAATAGTACAAGCAAGTGTTCATTTCTTCTCTTCATCAGGTAGAAAACATGTCATTGAAACAGGATTACAGGAAATTGGAGAAAATGAGAGAGGGGTAACCCCGGTCTGTGACATTAGGTAGAAAATGTCAGGGAAGTTAGCCTCTGCTAGCCTCTTAGCTCACATTCATTGTGAACCTCAGAGGTGAGAGCTGTTCATCAACAGAGATGCAAATGCTCTGCTTCTTTGAAAATCTCCTTCCCTAACTGACAGTAAAAGTTTCTCATAGGGTCATTATGTTTGTCCCTTACAGGAAACCATACAGGAAGCAAACAAACACAGTGTGTTCGCCGCGAGATGTTAGAAAAAAACTGCTACTACTTTTGGGTTTTGCCATTACTGGCTAAATTATAGTGAAGTGAAAGATGGTGGTGAACATTTATTCATCGTCGTCGTCGTCGTCGTCATCATCATCGTCATCATCATCGTCATCATCATCGTCATCATCATCGTCATCATCATCGTCATCATCATCATCATCGTCGTCATCGTCGTCGTCATCATCGTCATCATCATCGTCATCCTCATCATCATCATCATCATCTGGGTCAATCTTTCCAGACAGAACATCGTCAATCCACTGCTCCAGCTCATCAGATGTGGGCATGTCATCCTGGTCATCCATTTCCATCCAGACGCTGTCGGCCTGCCAACGTCAGACACAGAAATATACCAGAAGTAAACACAGAAAAACATTAGCATTCATTTAATGTCATGTTTGTCACTCAATGAAAGCAAGTCCAAAATTCGTTCTTTTTTAGCTCTGTTTTTGGTCTCTACCAACTCCTGAGGGAAATATCCGGCTCATTAGCTGCTAGATGCTCCACTACGTTTACCGGCTAAAAAAAAACAGCTGCCAGTAAGTAAACCAAAACAGTGACTTCACAGACACAGACTGGACAGCTGACCATTGAGTTGGAACTCACTGTAAATCTTCCCAAAGCGGAGGGGAGCTGCAGATTTAAGTGATAGTTCTCTATTCGCAACCCCTTTCTTACACATTCGTATATACATTGTCATCATTAAATATTATAGCCACTTTAGCTTCAGAGTGTTTTGCAGTGGCACAGTCGTGGAAAGCCCATAGTAGTGAGGGAACACCTGAAGTATCCAGATAACATCACTTGATTCAAGAAAACTTTAACAAGTTAACCTACAAATGAATATTTTTTTTCCCTTGTTCTAATGACAACATTTTAAACACTCCAAACAACTTGAATCAAGTTTTCATTTGAGGTTTTTGGAGAGGATGAGAAAGGTTGCTTACATCCTCAACATCAACCACACCGATCTGAGGAGAAGAGAGGTCGATGCGGAAGGTCTTCTCCCAGTATGGAACCAGCTGACAGAGAGATAGAGACAGAGGGAAGGACATGGTTTAAGGTTTATATATTCTGATATAATTATGAGTCGAACTTACATTTTCATATTGATAATTTTGGACATTGTAAATAGATTGTGAATAAAATGATCATTAAGGAGCAGTCACAAGAAACACAAAACAACAATAATTTTGCTGGTATGTGATAAACAATTTATGTGGGTTTATATTTATATAATTATACCAAGGGGAAATCGTCAGGGTCGATCCAGATGATGCTGAGGTTGGGGTTATCAGTGTTCTCGCGTGCCACCTCCTTCAGGATTTCCAGGAATTCAAAACCATCTGGGGAAAAGTTCAAAGTATTAGCTTGAAAGTTGACTGTCCGACTGATATTAACACTATAATATCAGTGCTGTAACTGTGAACAAACATTCACCTGGGTCATCTTCCTCAGCAAAGGCAACAATGTGCTCTCCATCAATGTCATCCTCCTGTAAACACAAAAAGAGGGATAAAGCGAGCATGTGAGTATATTTCTAGTCTAGACTGACTCATAAGAAATGCAACTTTTATCAGGGAAAATATGAATACTGTTTAATGGATTACTTTTTTTAAGTACTGAAAAATCTCTTACCCAGATCTCATACATGCTGTGAGGCTCAAGCTTCCTCAGAGTGGGCCTGAAACATTAAAACATCCCAAATCAAACAGCCATATTCCAATAACTTATAGAAAAACTAATGTTATTTCAGTATCACACAGGGTCTCACCTGTCGTGCTGTTCGATGTATTCAACCAGCTCAGACTCAATGTAGGGCTTTCCTGGAATGGTGACGGGTTCCTCCATGAATGGCTCGTAGAAATCAACCTCATTCATCTTCAGCTTCAGCTTCTTGGCAATCTGAAATAATCAGACAAAAAGTACAGATATTTTTTATACTGAAAATGTTTTTAGGTACAGTTACGTTTATATTTCAGGAACTAATTGTATTTTGGCAAACACGGAGTAAATGCATGCTATAAAGTTTATATTCAGTTTACTTGCCAAGCTAACTAATATAATCTTTTTTTTTCTATTAATGCCCATGTTGGTACTTTGCTCTACTCTGTTATTCAGCTTTTCTAAACTCAACTCAAACAATTCAAACCTTGGGGTCAAATGTGGCAAAGAATTTGACGAATGGGTGGAACTCCTCAGCAGCATCATCGTACTCAATGAAGTCTGGACAGAAAAAAATAAGGGAAAACTTATGATTAAAGAGACAAAAAGTTGATGTTCAGAGTGACGGCATACGGTCTGTTTGACGCTAAGACTTCAGATCAAAATCATCAACCTACGAGGAGATCTCTCGCTCTTGAAATAGCCGACCAGCTTGATGACCTCATCGTTGTTGTGGAAGCCCTTCAGCTCACGCTCGTTGTCGATGATCTCCACTGGTTCTTCGATCACCTGTGTAAATACAATGAATTTATTTGTGTATGCAACAGGTGTGTTCAATATAATTCATATCTTGCGTACAGTTAGAAAGTCTGAATTCAACTTGACAACATCGACCACAAAGTACTTACATCATAGAGGAACTCAACCAGGGTATCGGCGGCCAGCTCTCCATCATACTCAATTATCTCATTTTCGGCAAAGATGTAGATGCTCTCGACCTCATCGAGACCTGGCGAGAGAAGAATGTTTTATTGGGGAACTCCTTAATGTTTACACTGTTTTTTTTTAACAGCCACACAGTCTCCCCTATAGCTCCACCCAGGAGCTGATTGCTTCATGAGATGCACTTGGCCTGGGAAGGAAGCTTTTAAAAACGCTGGTCACAGCATCTGAAGAGCAGAGGCTTTCCGCATGCGGACTGCTGGTTCAGCTGCCTCTCAGCCTTGGATGTTAATCTAGTGTCATGATCCTTTTGCACATTTATGTTCATTAACCATTTCAACCACATCATTTTAGAGGTGTCTTATGAGTTTATTGGGTCACTAGTGGAGTGCTGCGCGTCCCTTAGGGCTACTTAAGTGTGGGGCGTAATATCATTATATATACATATGTATATTGTATATATGGTATTATTATGTCAGTGCAGAACATTATGTCCTGTGCATTTTACACCTAACATAGAATTTGTATTGCCACAGGAAGTGCTGACATGCTTGTGCACATCTGAACACTGTCTCGTAGCCCACTCTCCCTGTAACACTCGATACAAAGAAGCTGTGGTATCTTTGGTGAACACTTGAGGGCAGAGTTGTTTCAGATATTGTTCATACTAGGCCTCACACACCAACCTTATGTCTGTTTCAATCCCATATTTAGAATGATATTTCACTTTTACATATGTTATTAACTAATATATTTTATAGTAATTGTTGGATTTTTAGTCTGCCCATCTTTTCTTTTCTCAAATATGCATTCATCCATTCATTAGTGACCACAGAGTAACATTGAGCATATTGTATCATAACATCCCCATGAATCTTGTTCTCCATGCTGACTATGCGACTGGGGAGAGTTTTTTTTTTTTTTTATGTTCATAACTGGAAGAAAGCAGCATTTGTAAAATTTGTAAAAGATAATTAACAAGTTGTGAGATGTGTATAATTTAATCAGCATCATTCAGTGAAAAACCCAGGAGAAATTTGATGGAAATAGAGGATTTACACTGAGCCAAAGATTTTTTTTTTTCTGCTTCTATCATTGACAAATAGGCTGTGTTTTCACCAGCAAGGTCAGTGGCTGGCAGGCTTACCCAACTTCTTGGCAACAGCAGTGTCCTTCTTTTCATCCACCAGGCCGAATCCAATGTCCTCGTCATCAAGATCATCCAGGACTTGGGCTGCAAGCTGGACAGAGAAACATGAAGAGAGAGGGGTAGGGGGAGTTGGGACGAGTGGGGGAGTGAGGGAGATAAAGAGAAAGTTGTATTTAGTATCACATGAGTGCTGATTCTGTGTGACTGATCTTAGCAACTCACTCATCTGTCCATGATAGACATTTCCTAATCTCAGAACTCCATTAAAAACATACTTTCAGTTTCATTTACACAAGTAAACCCTTGGCATTTCATCTCGATTTCAAGGCCTTAAAAGCAAAAGCTTTGAATTGCTGCCTTGCACTTTCTAAATCGGAGTGAAACCGAAGCCAACAATTGACAGCCCCTGTAGCCGGCATGAGAGGAGCATGGACAGCAGGGTCTCCAGAAGAACAAGAGGGGCAGAACTTGAACCAACTATGTTTGGGGGAAGAGACGCTGCAACAGGTGCGGTGGAAAAGAGAGGAGCTCACACTTTGTGAACGTAAAGCCGCTGCATACATGCGCATATATATAATTCCACATACTGTAAATATACAGACTTAAGCATACATCGGTGTTATTACCTCCCTTTTCTCTCTACACACATTGATAAATTGTATTTCTCAGAGTTTCTATACTACCATTTTCCAGTTTGTGTGCTAACCTCTTCTCCATTTCATTACTTTGTCACTCACTCGCAGAGTATGAAAGGGTGATTCAAATGAATCAAAAGCCTTATGAAGCAGCTTGCAAAGCAGCATTGCAAAGTGGACAACATTCATAAGCGACCAAATGCCCCAAAGCGGCAGCACAAATAGCTTGTATAGTATGTGTAGTATGGTATACTATGTGTTATGTTGCTCTTCACAGGCAGTCTTTAATGCCATCCATTCTTTTGGTCTAGGCTACAGAGTCCAGACACATTACCTCATCATCAGACCCAGGGCCAATTTTTCTCTAATCTGGTTAGGAACATTGGCCTGTTTGCATTGAAACGCCAAAGCTAGATAATCACCATGTAACAGCTAATGGGAAAGGTTCCATTCAGAGTAACGCTCTTTTATTTTAAAGGGTAAGTTCTCCCAGATCGGAAAAAAATTTATTTAACTTTTCACTGCAAGGTTTTGTCGAGCCATGCAGATAGTTTCAGTTTTACCTTCTGAGGTTTTAGTTAGCTGAGAGGATCAATGTCATTCTCCAGTTCATATGTTGAATATGATGTTATGCTGTAGCTGGTTAGCTTAGCTCCTGAAGTCCTGTTGTCAGCTTGAGGTTAGCAAGGGGTCATTTTACAATTTGGTCATCTATGGATTAAACAAACGAGATGTAATGTGTTAATTAGTGAGCGTTTTACTAGTCTCATTGCAGTCTTTATGCTAACCGTAGCTAACTGTAAAGTGAACTGGCTGCTGCCTGTAGCTTCACAATGAAAGAGCAAATACAAAAGTAGTATCAATCTTCTCATCCATTTCTTTGCAGGAGGTGCATTTCCCAAAATGTCAAACTCTTCCTACAAAATAATAGTTTCTGTTCCACACCAAATATGGGTAATAATGGAGGTGAATTTCATTTGTGCTGCTGGAAGCATTCTTTTTTTTTCTCATTGGGAGAATATTTATTCATTGGGACTATTTATCAAGTGGAACTTAATTCCAATAAAATTGTTCTGAGTTGGTTTTGAGTTTTTCAGGTGTAATCTTTCAATGCCTTTCAAACTGTGTCACCAAACCAAGAACCACTAGTAATTTAGAAAATATGATTTTCTATGATTCGGGTGAAGTGACCCTTTATGATTATTGATGGTTGTATAAATGAATGGATGAATGGGTGGGAGGATGGATGGATGGGCATGTTAAAGTTTGTTTAATAGATTAGATGGAAGCTTTTCACCCTTACTTTTCTTTTTCACAAATATGAAGTCAAACTTCAGCCCAAGCTGCTGCTGCTGCTGCTGGACTTTGAAAGCAGTTCAGTCTTCACTGGTCCGTGATATTTGGTTGTTGGTTCATGTAATTTTGTCTTGTTTTAAACTAAACTGCAGTCCAGGAGTGGAAGGGAACAATCAGCAGCGTCAGATGAATCTGTGGTTCGCAGCCCAGCTTTACAGACACAAAAGGCAGACCTTAACATACCTGAAAGGTATTTGCTGCTGGACTTGTCATCAACTGCAAGAAGAGGTAACGCTTTAGGGTAAAGCACAATAGTCACAGCCTCCAGGTTTACAGCATATCGGAGTGGCCTTCATAGGAGACAAAATAGGTCCGAACTACTCACACAGGACTATTATTACCTGAGGACCTTGTGTCTATAATACAATAAATAAAAATCCCATCAAAAATAAATCCATATTTTAACAAGCACAAATGTCATCAGACAAAACTTAAGATGACCTCACACCTTAACAATATGGGGTCTTTTTCATTACTTTTCTACATCAATTTCCAACCTCCCAGCTCCATCACATCCAAAGATGTGTAGTCGTTTTTAATTAAACAGACTTTTGTTTTTGCCTTAGTATCAGAGGTCAGTTCATACATCACATGAGGTCCTGAGGTAATGCTAGCTGAGCGTGAATAGGGCTTAACACAAGAAATCAAACAATTGTTGAGTAATCTGAGTGTAGTGTGATTGAAGATTACAGGACCTTATTGTCCCACATAGTGGGATATTTGCACACCGGTGGAGTGGTGGTTGAAAAATTAGAAGCAGAAGAGCGCCAGGTTATAGACAAACAACCATTTTAAAACCATATTCTTTAAATATGCAACCAGCGAACTGAGCCATGAAGTTTGCTGAAGCGCAGAGCTTGTTAACACTTGTTTAGCCTCTGTTAGTCCAACTAAATCTGGACATAACTTTGCACTATTTGTGAATGTTCTTTTGTGGTTAATTAAATGAACCACATTTAAAGTCAATGTTTTTCTTACATATATATATAAAAATCCCACTGGACAACTACAGAAGTGGTTGAAGCGCATCAGCAAGAGTCAACAACACACAACACCAACAATACTGTGACAGAATCGACTTGCCAGATTTAATTTTCAAGTGTTTCAACTCAAAAGCTATTTCCCAAAACTCTATACTATACTAACCCCCCCCCCTCATAGCACAGGGTATGGCCATATTAGTAACACTGGGGTATTTATAAGAGAGGTGAAGTTATGAGTGCTTGCAGTCAGGTGGAAGGCAAAGCAGGGAGTCCTGCAGCTATATAAGGATGTGTAAGAAAGTATGTTGAGGAGCAGAAAAGAAGGCTGAGATCCGTTACATATAGAAATGGGTGTGGAAAGAGGAGTGGACAGGCAGGGCTGATGAATGGGAGACATCTGACACGCAAGTTCACACTTACTGACATCCATCATTTCCTTCAATCGCCCTCATCAGTTTTCGTCCTCGCTCAAACACACTCGCCTCCTTCCTCTCCCTTTCTCTCTATCTATCCAGATTATTTTGTCATAACTTCAGCCTCCCGATACACCGTTCACCCTTCCTCATCTGTCCCCTCTGCTTTCACCCGACCCCGCTCCAGAAGTCTGACAGCGCGGAGCCAAGTGAGAGGTCAGCAGGGCAATCGCTTGGCTCCGTCTCGCAATGCCCAGTCACTGTCAGCTTGTCAGGTGACACAAGATGAGGGCAGAGTGCCATGGTGAGTTGTCAAAAACGTGCTCTGGGTCCCCGCTGCACTTGGCTGTGGCACCAAATGATGAGCTAGGAGAGGCTGGTGGGGTTCGCAGTGCTGCAGAGAGGTCAAATTTCTTGTAATGTTAGCCGCCCAAATGCTCAGTCTACACTGCTCTGTGCAGGCTAGCCCATGTATCGGTTGCTTTGATTTAACGGAACTTGACTGACAGGTTATGTTGCTACTGAGTGGGACACGTTTGTTTAAAATATTTTAAGACCACCAGTCTTGTCTCTGATCTGATTTGTTCTCACCTTCCTCATCTATTTCTGGAGTATCAAACACTCAACCCCTGTTGGCTTGAGCGGTAATTCATGCTCCTGGACATTAACTGTAGTCAGCTTGAATTGTCACGGAAAAATACTTAACATTTACATTCATTCATTTGCCAGATGCTTTAGTCTTAATTGTCGTACAAATGAGGTACAATCCAAGCCAGAGTTTATCAAGGAGAAGCCTTTGGAAAGTGTCGAATTCCATCTGACACAAGTGCAAAATGTTTCAAAGGACTCCATCTGTGACTCATTTTCGTGACAACAAACGTTTGCATAAACTTTTGTTTCATTGCTGAAATATAATCCACCTCTCCTCTGTCCATTTTTATCCTCAATATGTAAAAAAAAAAAAAAAAAAATCCCACAATTTTGCAAAAATTATAGTATAGCTACATAATATTGCACAAGATGACAGTATTGTATTTGATTGAGTTGTTGAACAATGATTCCCTCCACCAGGGGCCATGATTTCAGTACTTTAGAAGTCACTCTCATGACCTGTCACATGGAATTATTTCAAGACATTTCCATTCTCCTCACATATAATTGCCTCTTTCTGCCGCGCAGTTCAGATATGAAAAGACCTCTTCAAGCAAAGACACAAATGATAAAGCCGGACTGTAATCACAGTCATTTGCATGCCAGCCATCCATTACATGCATCGCTGCTACCCAGCCGGCTACAATCCATCCTCTATATGTCATTATACCTGCTCATTTCTCTTCATTATCAGCTACAGACGAAGCTTAGTGTGCTTGGAAAACAGAGTACACTCCATATTGAGCATTGAGACTACCTCTTCACTTCATGACTTGACGTTGGATTTCTCCACTCATTAGTAAGCTCACGGTAAACTCTACACACTCGCACACACACACAACTAATGAGAGGAAATAGCTTCCATCACTGCTGTTCGGGCCGATTGCTGACAGAGATGGATGCAAATCCAAGTTATTGTTTCTCCTTTAAACAAAGACCAACCATGGATTTAAGTCTGATTAACCAAGTGTGACCAAATAGGCTGAGCTGAGTTCGGAAGAGCAAACACAGCTTGAGAAGATTTCCTGGCAATCAAGGAAAACATGCTCAGAA